CATTTCGTCCTGGCATGGGACTCATCAGCAGTGCGCATCCACGACTCCTGCACCTCACAGGATTCGAACCCGGGACCTTCGGAGTTCTAATGAGAAGATGTGACCAGTGGAGTTCAACCCTGTCGAGTGTAGACAGTAACTACCAAAGACAAATGGGTGAGGTTGCGCAAAATCCCTAGATCAATCAGAGTTAGACATTAACACCGTTAGATGCCAAACCATTTGTCCAAAGATTAGGCGTTCGCGCACAATACTGACGGCCCCGGCTTCGAATCCTGCGAGATGCAGGAGTCGTAGATGCGCACTGCTGATGAGTCCCATACCAGGAGGAAATGGCCGTCCAGTGCTTCTAGGTTTCTAATGGTGGTCTAAAAATGATTGATTGATAATTTCGAATTCTATAAATTAGTTTATTTGTTCGTAATTGTTAGTTTATTGATGCAACAACAGAAAATTATTGATTGTTGTTAAGGGAAGTATGCTTAGAACTCTGATATCAGCATTTTGAATCTGTAGAGTTAAATATCACAATTAACTATTCAGATAATTACTTATTAGTGTTAACTTTAACAGTTTAATTGTATGGCACTGTAAATTATGCACATAAATTAAGTTACTAACTTATTGTTATGCTGTTATACTATGTTTAGTTTGCTTAAAATTCAACTATTAATCCATGTAATTCGACATGAAAGTCTGTGTATTTAGATGTAATGACTGACCTAGTCCTAGCATTAAATAAATACATGTAACTGACTACGATGCAAAGAATAAACTTTAGTTTACAAAATCACAGAGGCCCACTTGTTATATAAATATATATATTATGAAGTCTAACGGATATTCGGGATAAAATTTAAAAAAGCGTAAATCAACCACACTGAAATCTCTAAAATAGACTATTGTGTTAAATTGTAGTAAGACTGTAAATATAATTTCTAGTGGACAAATCTAATGAAAAAAAAATCAAAATAAACTGTTACCAATTAGTTATTATCATGAAACTATTATTATTAAGATTAGATTTACTTCCATTTAGTTCTCTGGAAATAATTTTACACTCGCATGCTACAACATAATCTACAGTTCGATGAATTCCCTCAGGTTACATGAATATCTCAATTATAGATACATTATGGATGGATTTAGTAGATTGAATTATCAAACCAACTATCAAAAAGATGGATGTTTTTTTGGTTAAAAATACGGTAACTTAATTTATAAACTCTATAATCCAATATACAAATTTCAGGTTCGTAATTTTTATGTAACAACCAATGAGAATTTTGTAGAGATTAGTGATGCATGTTAGTGGTATAATAATAATAATAATAATAATAATAATAATAATAATAATAATTCAACATGACTAACTCTCATGTCTCATGATTTATCATTAAATCAACTAACTAATATCGTTTTTATACAAACCTTAAAAGTACTAATGTTCGAAAAAAATGCTATTCTGCAATATAAAGTCATCTGAAGATTTACAAGTAATTGTGTACACATAAATTAGATGACTATAATTAACTGAAGATAGCCAGAAATATGTAAATATCCTAGAATTTATTATCCTTAAATACTAAAGTAACCAGAGAATAGTAATAGATAACTTTACACATTTCAAAATTCATCAAACTTTTAGTTCTCACCCAGTGATTTTCTTGGAAAATCTTCATTTGTTTAGAATCTTCAAGTAAATTAATATTTATCCGTTTATTCTTACATTTTGCTATGAGGCTCTTGATTTGTTTAGGTTATGAACTTATTAACTAACAAAAGGAATGATAACTGCCTAACTTAAGTTAGGCCAAATCAGATAGTGTATGATAAATTTCATTAACAGAGTTGATGTAGTCTGACTAGTCAGATTTATGAAACAAAAATGGAATCAGGTGACACCATGTCTGAGAAAATTTCTTGTTGTCAGTTTGTGTTAGTTAATCAATAGAAAGCATTTCTTTTAGGCTTCTAGTCTATTGACAGGCACCACCTGAGCCCATTTTGCAATACTTAACTTAATAATGTTCTTATGTTATTTAAGTAGAAGGTTACTGAATTATCGAATGATTGTATCATCTTTGAACGTGCTGACTATTCTGTGTAAACCTGAAGAAGTCATGTACCGATTAAGTTGAAAGGGGCACCAAATAAACGTTTGGAAGTTATCAGTATACATTTGAAATAGTTAAATTTCCTTTCAAATAAATTATCACTAAGTTAAGTGAAATCATATTTTACCACATACATTGTGAAGTGTTGAGAATTTTTCTAGTACACTGCATTCAAATAAAATCGAAGAAATACATTTTCATTCTCAATTTAGTCCCTAAAACTCACCAGGAAAATACAGGGATATATGTTCTACTTCGGAAAGTTTATCTAAGGCTTTGTGGAGGTAGATATTATATATATTTCACAACTTTGAATATCGTGTAATCTGATAACTGTTGTTTTAAATGGCGAATGTTTATCATAATTTACTTTATAGACTCAAAGCTGAAAATCAACACTATTATTTCGAATATAAAAAATGGTCCATACAATTTAAGTGACGAACATGGAAGCTAACAGATTACATATGTGAGTAGGTGGTTAGCAATGCTCGAGCATACATGCTCATACAAGCTGAACAGTGGTATAGATAAGGTGTTTCTGTACGAACGAAACTTCGTTAAGGTGCTATGGCTTCGTGGCTGATGTTATTATTTTCCTAACTGGTATTTCATTTTCACGTATTCTGTTCAGCCTCATCAGATTACTTACCCTAACAAATACATGAACCAAAATCACAATATCCTTATCTTATGCGCGTAGGCTACATCGACTGTATCATCATCAAAAGCTCTATGCATTTATAGTCATACAAAAGCCCTAATTCCGTTCTTAATATGAAATGATCCTTGGACGTCCCCGTAATTTAGAATCAGATATATTTCTCATTTACAATAGGCAAAGTAAATGGGCTAACATAAAGAACATGAGGCCACTCATGGTCGATATTTCCATCATTGTTATGTCTTTGTATCTTAACTGCAAATTTTAAGGCTCCTCGGATTCACCTGAAATGAGTTGTTTTTTAATGCAGTATTTCAATAAACACCTATGAACATTCTGTGAATATCCTGAAGCTTTCTCACGTATTCCAGCGAAAATTCGACATCAACTAGTCGCATAAATATTCAGTAGAATATATGTTCACTACGTAGATAATTAAAATAAGGATCGTATAAAATCTTTCTTGCTCTATGCATTACTCAGATACTATGATACCCTCTGGCATTTAACTCTTAATAGTAGGAAAATTTAGTACGATAGTAACAGTGTTCATCGCATTATTCAAGCGTTTCATTGAAAACTGATTTCAAACGTATATCCAGTGAAGTTAACTCAGTTGGAAGTGAGATAGTAACTTAGAGTTGATGTTAGTTGTTTGCTGAAATTAAATTGTAAACCACTTGACTCCGATTCACTAGTTTACAAATGCTATGATTGATGAGAGAATTAACATCCTCGAGATTATTATCAGAGCGGATATACATCATGATCACCATTACCTTACTGAGTTCATTATATTTACTGTAACTTGGTTTATCTTTTATGTTGTCGACTCTGTATATTTCCTATATGATCACTTATATCATGTTGTACGATCATTAAAAGTACCTATCTCATTAACTTTTCATGACAAATCGCATATAATTAGAACAAACATTGTAGCAATAGATTTGCCTGCTTAAAAGTTCATAGATGGAATTCGTTAGTGCAGTAAACATTAGTGGATGAGATAAATTAATAAATCAATCATCAAGCCTACTAGAAGTTATAAAGGTCAAGGGCATAAATAGTATGAACTTAGGTTGGAAAAAGTCACGTAGGTAAGTGAAAACTCTTGTAAATGATAATGAAGTTTGATTTTAGGTAATAAGAAATATAGTAACAAGGAATGAAATTAATTAATTTTAACTGGAAACCTTTAAACATAATGTTAGAAGATTAGATTCTATGTTATTTGAAGATAAAACAGAAGTATCGACCTTGTTTCTACTCGACTTTTTTAATTTCCTTTATTGTTATTGTTCCTTCTCAATTAAAATTCCCATGAAATCGAATCCTTCTTGTTTCACTCCGTTTCCACATCCACTAGAATTCATTAATTTTATTTAATACATAACGAACAGTTTACGATGTCTAATATTTACTTGTTGAAAAATATGAATATACTATTTCGATATTTAACTACCTTTTAATAATTTCGTTTCTAGAATTCATAGTTGCATACAGTTTATATTGATGGGACGGGATTATTTGGTCATAACTAGCGAGCACCTGATTTATCCCACGATTCAAATACTGCAAGCCGTAATACCGTGTGGTTTTAGAAGACCTGAGGTAATATCTTGTAAACTCAACTAGTTAGCATTGATGGCTTATGTGAAAGTTAAGTTATAACAGAAGTCGAACAAGATTAGTTCGAGTGACATTAAAGGTATACTATTGATCTTCACTTCCCCAACCTAAACTCTTAATGGCTACTTCTTGGTGTATTTGAAAAGAAAATTAGGTTAAGAAGAGTTTTGGATTTAATATTTACTACTTTTAGTATTGCGAACTGATCTCAGCGAAGCATTCAGTGCAAAAAAAGAAGGACTGAACAGTTGTTTCATCCTCATCAGTGATGCGTATCGACCATCGACAGAGTTCAGAAATCACAGGCCTCACAAAGATCACTTATTATTACTTATCTCAACATTAATTTGGAAGAGTAAAAATAACAAAATATATCATTTACCAAAATTGCATTTCATTTCATAAATTAAAGAAGTACTTTGCCTAAAATACAATTGGAAGAAAATAATTTGAAAAGTACCATAATCTAGATGAAAAATCCTAATGAACGAATATAAAAATAGTTTATCTCTGAGAAATCATATCAAAAAGTTCATTGACATCTGAAACAGTACACATTAAAAGAAGCTGCACGAAAAATTTTCGCACTATTCCCTAGTATTGATCCATGTTATAGTATTTGAAGGTAAAATCTCATAACCACCAATCATAGTTTTAATAAAAGAAAATAAATTTTGAAGGTTTGTTATCTGATTTGAATTGTTTTCTGTCAGATCATGATGACCAGTACAACCGATAATGATTAGTTTATGTTGAGCGCGAGTTAAAGCGACAGTCAGTCGTGGTAGATCATCAAGTAAATGATTTCGATTTGATTCAGCAGACTAAAATATTTTGGAAAATATTGAAAACCACAAAAAAAAATTAGATTATATTACAGAAAATTTTGATAGATGTCATGGGATATTTGAAAGCATGTGCAGAAAAGTACATGAAAAAAAATCAGAGGACAAATAGGAAAGACAATAATAATCAGTCACTTTACGCATTATATACAAATGCGAATACTTTTTACTTGCCTATCCCTAGAAAAATCATTTCACTTTTAATTAGTCGCTTGCAATTTTGAACTGCACCCTACTTCTTTTAGTTTAGGCAACCAGGTAAGTTCATTAGTCGCTAAATTAATCATTGTGACTTAAAACGCTAAGAGAACAAATATGTATTTATTAAACGAATAGGGGAAAAGATTAGATACATTTAACAGTTGCAATTCTCATAGCCCAAACTGTATATTATTGCACAAAAGAACATAGTTTAAATTTTTAATAATTGTAGTAATAGCATATAGAGAATTATTGGTCTAATTAACTCTAATGATGTAGTTTAAGAGACGTTTTAGCAAAATATTTGTGTTACATATAAAACTTAATATGATATGATGTAACCAGAAAATGTCGCCAAATAACTTCATATTGTATAATTTGATACCGGATAATTATCCACGAGCTAACTTTACTAAATACCACACTAGGCTCAGGGATCCAATGGTAAGTAGTCTTAATAATAACGCATAACAATAAAACTGTGTATTTTAATGACAACTTCGTTAACTGGATCTACCATGTAAATTTCATCATCATCATCATCATCATCATCATCATCATCATCATCATCATCATCATCATCATCATCATCATCATCATCATCATCATCATCATCATCATCATCATCATCATCATCAGTACATTCACAGGTAACGTTCGTCACAGACTGATCTCATTTGCAATGAAATCGAAAACTAGGTAACAGTAAATGGCTGTTATGTTTTAGGATAGAACTCCTTTGTAGTGCGTGCCTACAACCATGTCCAAGACTGAACTCAGAGCTTCCAGGTTTCAAATACAATTTGTGAACAATACAGAGCATAAATTAAACGGATTTCCTCAAAACCACTACAACCTAAGTGAGTATTTGCAGTAATCAAGAGCTATCCGACTACTAAACAAGATGTGGTAGTGCAAGAGGAATGTGATTAGTCAACAAGGGTACATCAACAGGCACAGCCTAGTGACTATTAAATATGTGATTCCTTTTTCACCACTTAATGAGTGTGATTGTTTGTAACTGTGTTGAATAAAGTATTGACAATCACTTAGTATGATTCACTATTTAGTCTTGAATCGGATATCTGATATAATGTGATCTAGTCTCTGAGAAGGGTGTCGTTCGATTATCCAATCCTGAGGTATTATAAACCTGGTCACTTAGAACAGTCACATTTCGTCTCAGTATAGAGGGAAAAAAATATTTCAGTTCACCCGTTCTAATACTAAATAATAAGAAAATAATTTAAGGTGAGCTTAAAAATAAGGAATATTTACAGAGGAGGATCCATGAACATCTTTAACGAAGTCATGATCCTTGAAACACTTTTAAATAAATTATTGATGAATATATTTGAATCAGATAGTAAATTGATTGATTCATGACAAAGAATGTTATATCATAATCATTTACAAAAATATACATACAATTACTAGAAAAAATCTTGAATACATGTATTAAAAAATTAATAAGCGTACCTCATTTCTATTCATTTTAAGCACTGAAGATGGACAAGTAGTTAAAGAGAGTAAAACTAGTCTTTTATCACGACCTTGAAATTGATCCACTGTATTCACTTCAATCGTTTCAAGTGAATTCTCTTTCATTATATTTTTTAATAAATAAACTTGTGCTCTGTATGGTGTTATAACGCCAACATCTTTCATATCAAGAAGAAACTAGAAAAGTAGAAAAAAAAAATTAATCTGAACAATAGTATTTATTGATAAATGTAAGTAGTAATGTAATCCATAGGAGTGTAACACACAATAATCCTACTCTATATTTGATAATTAAATAAACAGTGAAACGAATATGAAAAATATATTGTTAGATAATAGTATGTCAAAATTTGTATCAGTCAAGTCTAAGCAGTGAAAGTGGTTCAGTTGTATGATAAGTAGTATTCTCAATAATGATATAATAACTAAAAGAATTCCAGTGTATTGAGAGTCATCATGAAAATCGATTGTTGAAATTTACTAGCATTACTTATTCGCACAAATGATAGTAAATTGTGATAAAAAACAACAGCATGATATCTAACTGAGTGTCAAAAAAACCAATCAAATTATTTCATAAAACTAACTAATTAGAAAATCTTCATTATCGAACTATTCTTCTAATAACGTTTCTGATGAGAATCATCTGAAAAACGTTATTTCTGTAATGACTTCCAGCATTTCAGTCGTTGACTACTGGTCTGGATCATGTAAGTGGAGGTAGGCTACTTCATTCGTACAATAGTCAAGAAAAGTGTCTGGAGAGTTTAGGTGACATAGCCTAGAATCGCCCACAATAAGGCAGATGTACTAAAACGTCTTTAGCACTAAGTCATGGCTACTAGGTTATTTCAATTTCTTAAGATGCTTATAATGGTAATTTGATTTCATCACGCTAATGTAGCATGGCAACTTCAGCCAATGCACATCTGTGGCAGGCTTTACGTTGATGACCGACTGATAATTCATTTGTAAATATATAATATATTGCACTGCTGAATAAGTAGGAATGTGACAAAAGTACTATTGATATACTTTAAGAGAAGCTGATAAACTGTACAATTAGACTTTCTCCACGGAAAACACACTATAACAACTGTCGCCTAAAAAACGATGGAATGTGACCAACAAAAGAATACTGCATTCAAATCCTTGAAACGAAGAGTTTAATTCAGTTGAATATCTTTTACATGAACAACGTCAGGACAAATGTCACAAAATTCTACCAATAAAAGAATAAAAATTTTTACAATTTGCAAGGTAGGTTAGCTTACTACATTACGGATTTCTTTTAGTATGTAGAGAATTAACTGAGCTTCAACAGGATTCGAGTTTGATGTACGAGATCCATTTGGAGAAACGGTGCAACAATCAAGCTAACGGCAAGAAAGCGAACAAAAACGATTCGTTAGAATGTCAGAAACCGTGATTTTAGGAGCAATAAAAAATGGTTTTAAATACCGATTTGAATAGACCACAATTTATTTGATTTCCAAGATCAGTACACATATTAAATGTATGGATAATATGTGGGTGAAATAAACCCCACAAAGTCAACCATTTTTACTTTTAAAGAGTTTGAATGATTTTCCTTTACATTAAAAAAGTCAACATCCGAAATTTCAGCAGAGTTTAACACACCTGGTCAACAAAATGTTGTGATATTCGACAACAGCGGAAACAAATGGAGAAGAATGTTGATACATACGCATTACCTCTAACGGAGTAATTATGAAATTGCTTACAAATATAAAACAGAATCTAATAAGTGATTATTAATTAATCACAGGAAAGATAATATTTAACAGGAAATATTTTTTTATAGTTTAACATAATAAACCTCTAGCTTAAAAATCAAAATCATTTTTTACAGCTCTTAGTACTACGGAACGATATAATAACACATCCTAGTTGAAACAAAACTGAGTTAAATTTTATTTTCAAAAAGATAGATATACAATATCTGAGCATGCCGTATTACAAAGAATATTCTTAGATAATTAATTATCCATAGGTAATTCCACTTTGCTAAGTTTGAACTATATATTAGTACAAAACAGATACATTGATTCAGTAAAAAAAAGTGTACTTACCATCTTTGTATCTAAAAGTAATACAGAATCCGCTAGAAGTGGACTTTTTACACGTTTTATCCATAATGGCAACTGAAAAAGAAAGAAGATAAATGAAAATAAAGTATAATTGAATTTTAAATACATTTTACACTGTAAAAGGTCATAACAATATCAAGCAGAATATTATTCAGTACAAGAATTGTAGAAATTTTCAACTTTCAATTTTGATTTATTTCAATTTCTTTTTGTTTGTTATAATCATTGATGATCAACTCTATAGGATTGAATTGGTTTTCATTTTAATTATTAGTCACTTTCACAAAGTGTAAAATTATACTTTCTTAAATATAAGATAAGTAATTAATTAACAAGGGAGTGGAAGGGAACAAAAAATTAATCATTCGACAGAAAATCAATGCATTTCTAAATGTTACAGATTAAAGCACACATTTCAAGCATTTCTTTTTTTGGAGATACAATTTACAGACATTCAAATTTTCTATATATAAATATATTCTATGTCAGACATATTATGATACACACTAACAAGTTACAATTTTATAATAAAATAGAATTCATGTTTCATTTTAAGGAATAAATCAATGTTTAAAGTAATGACATAAAAAAAGACTACAAAAAGAGAGCAAAATGAATAGAATATTGACGCCCGCTTATAGGATTTGAGATTTTTTTAAAAATCAATCCTAAAACATACTACTAATGATAATAACTTGCGATATAAGTAGTTGACGTTTGATGAATATGAAATGAACTCTACTGGTTCAAACGCAGACATCAACTAACAATATATAGATTTTTTTTGAATTGTAATTTGATTGAAAATAATGGTTTAATACGTAACACACTGAAAGTTATGTACACGGAGTCATATTGTAGATCATAAACAGAATGAACCTTGTGTATATTTACATTATATCTGATTACGATATTATAAATAGCCAATAGTTTCTATTACATATTCATGTTTCATTAAAACAACTATGAGAATGATTGTAGAAAGCAAAGTGTACAGATGTTACAATACGTTGACAATTGATAACTAACAAAATTCCAAATTTTTAAGTTGTTCAGAAAAATGCAAACGAATCTACATTGATTAATGTGGTTAATAAGGACTAGCACTATATGATCCTGCTTCCTGTCAACCTTGCTATTCTATGTTAGTTGTAACAGTAAACTACTAGGCATTAAAAAGTGACAATCCGCAGAAGAATATTTCACTTTGAAAATTTTCGCCATATATTTAAAGTAAAATCTCATTTCAATCTGTGTGACTTATTAATAATCTAACTGCTTTTAAGAAATTAATTTAAACGCCAACTCATCTCTTTATGTTTCATTTTACATCCATTTAGCATGGTAGCTTAAATCTAGTCTGTTCTTTGTTCGACAGTGACTCTTAGTTTTACTGGATATATATATATATATATATCACTACTAGAACCACATACATTTAAAAAGCTACAGTGTTAGGTAATGAACTTTCTGAGGGGACGGGAGGGTTACGGTTATAGGTTAACTGAAATCATATCAAATGATAATACATGCAAAATATCAATAGTGTTTCAGGAAAATACATGCAAACAATGAATAATGATACAATTGTTGATTGTGTCAAATTCTTGTGTAAACCAACTGTTCTTCTTGCCATACACACATAACTCGACATTTAATATTTCGTGTCGTTAAAACATTGTTTCAAAGAGCGAAAAACAGAAAAAAATATATAAATTACGCCTGCATAACTAGTGAAACTGTGAAAATAAATTCAGAAATTTCAATCATCACACAATGACTTTTTTTTATAACACAGAATTACTAAATTAGAATAGATGAAATTCTACAATCTCCATGAATTGTTTGTTAGGTAAAAAAAAACTTTCATGAAAAAAAAACGATGGTGCACAAAATGTTTGCATTACATTAATTAGTTGAAATTATGACAAATATCCCACTCCCTCCTGCCAAACCCCAAAATATAATTTGCATAGTCAGAAACACTTCATACTGTATAATCTATGCAAAATTAATTAGACATGGGGATTGGAAAAGTTTAACAACAGCTTACATACAATAAGTAAAAAAACAACACTGACCCAATATTTAAAAGAAAAAAAAATCAATGTGAAAATTTTCTCTGCTTACATCACAGTTTGCTTTGTCCAATATTTTATCTGAGATAAGATTAGAGTTTAACTTCAATGTAGCTTGGGATATAGACGAATTAGCACAAGATATTTTATTCTTATACGTTAAATGATTACATAATGCTAAAATTTTGGAATTCATACGATATTGAATGGTTAATTCCACTATGAACCCTTTCTTTGAATATTCCACTGAGGAATTCACTGTTGATGGACTATGATGGTCATGGTTATGATGATTTAATAATATGGAAAAGAGACTTTGATCAAGACCACCAAATCTAATCACAATGAGAAAAAGAGAGGAAAATATTCAAAAATTAAATCAAAACAAATAACCTACTGATGAATCAATATATCTAATTCACAATAATAAGAAAGTGATTTTTACTTTCTTTTTTTTCTTAATTAGACTGAGTAACGTCAACTGTACTAAACAGAAATATCCACTTGACTTTACAATATTATTCATACTTCTCAAGAATGGAGTAAAAGTAATTTCGTTTGTTTGCAAAATGTTTGTTTGAACATAGATTAAGTTATTAAACAAACATGTGAAAGTCAACAAACTATATTTAAAAGGAAATTATTTCACTGATAACCAACTCATAAAGATAATCGACGTAAAAACCAACATCGAAGGAAATTCAAGGTAACAAAAGCGTTATTAACCCACAGATTTCTTTCGTACATTAATCACACATCTTACATTAGTTTATCAAGCTGGAATAAAGTAGAGGTGATTACATAAGTTCACATCATTTCTCAGTTTACTACTTATTTCAGCAAACATCATAATCAAACCATTCATATTAGTATATTTTCTAAATTATATCAACCAATTCACAACTCTAATCTGCAGCTTTGAACTGGACGAACAATCAAATTACAAATAAAGTTACGTTTGTGGAAATGGTGTAACAAACAAATAAGAGCGGTTGGTATTGAAACAATTATTAACAAAAATAGTAAAAATATAGAAAGAACATGTTCTAAGACTGACAAAAATGACAAATTCACGCGAGTTAATTCGAAAGAGTAATCAATCAATCAATCAATCAATCAATCAATCAATCAATCAATCAATCAATCAATAGCAACGTAGAAGGATTTGATTTTGACCAATTTGGTCTCGCGTGCTGTTACGGGTATGAGAGCGGTTGTCACTTCCCGGCTGCCCACACCGTGTAAGGTTGTTTCTTGAGGAACCTGGTAAAATAAGATAGATTAGTGTCGATCTTAACGACCTGGGAGCGTGACCGCAGAGTCCAAGGGACAACTGCCTGAGGCCGGTCACGCATGGCCTTTTTATGAAAGGTTTTTTGAGTGTTAGCTCCGCTCTTAAAAGCCCTTAGTGGGCACCCTTAACGACGGAGACGGAAATCCGTGAAGAAGGGTGAGGTATGACATTTTTAGGGTCAACGTTTTGTAACCCGCTTCCTTGTAGGAAGGCAACATCGCTGCAGATGCTGGTTTTCCGAGCGAAACACCTTACTGCTGTCACACCTTTCTGCAGTCAGCCGTACGTCTTCGCCCTCAGACCCTGAGTAGCTGCTTTTAGTCGCATCGTTCTCCAATCGACCTACCTGGCATGGTAGAACATTCAGGAACATATGTTGCAGCCAATATAGCTCGGTTGGGTCATCACGATAGGCAACCCCGACCACAACGTGAAGGTAGCAGCTGCGGTAGGGAGAAAGAGCAATAATAATAGCTTTATTGAATATTATTTGTTTAGTTTGATATGAAATTCTCATCATCCAGTATTTCAATAAATTTCTTCCACTCCATTAATGCATCACTACATCCATATGTATCGGTGACCAAACGATGCACATTGTAAAACAATTACAAACACAAAATTATGATGTTTTGCATTTTATCCATGATTATAATTACACTAGAACCAATCAACTAGTAATCATGTACGTTCAACTATAGAAAGCTGATTTGCTCAAACAGACCAGAATTTGTGAGAAAAATGTATGCCTAGTTACAAGTACACTGGAATACACAATATTCTATTTTAGACACGAAGTCAGCACGGAAGTGTTTACAAAAAATATTTTTAAAAAAAAGCTGCTCCAAATCACCTAGCTTTTTGGCTACGAACTAAAGGAGGCAACTGATAAGGATCACCAACCAGTACAAAACGACAACAATTGATAGAGTCTGGCTGTTGCTCTTCAGTAAGGCATAGTAATGGTCCCAGAGTAGTAGGAAACATTAATTGACTAGCTTCATCAATTAGAACAACATCGAATTTTTGATATGTCAAAGCTGCATGCCGTTGGTCATTTCCTCCACTTGCGCCTAATGCTGTGCATCCAACAACAACCTAAACAAGCAATACGATACAGAATAATGCATGAAAAAACTTTAAAAATTACGAGATAAATTTACATGTTCATAAGGCTATATCCTTCTATTAAAAATTTAAATAAAATACAGTAATATAATAAAATATTATTTCAAAAAAATAAGAAAGAAACGCGATGGAATGGAATAAGTCATTTCATCCATAGTATATAAACTAGATATTATTGTTTTTTTAGCGTATCAATTTTACTTCGTATAGTAGATAGAGTAACAAACAGTGTCTAATATATAAATTGCTCTTTAATGACGTAACCAACAAATATGAAAATCAGAAAATAATTTGACATGATTTTCCGGGTAAATGACAAGAGGTATTAAATTCGATTAATTTTACTAAAAGTCATGATTTTGAACTAGCTAAATATTAGCCAATGTTAGATAGCTAAATACTGATTATTCTTACCATTTTTCTCAATTACAATTTTTTTTGAATATTGTTGATGGTTAAGAGAAGTGAAACAAGTAAACTCTAGTCTGTTCCCACGAGGACTTTATTATGTCAATCAGTCAGTTAGTTGCAACGTAGAACTTCGTACGTATGTACATAAGTTCATGTTGCCATACCACATTAACACAGAGACGCAAATGCCATATAAAATCCCATAGTGATAAAGATAGTAGAGGTATTAATGGTAATGAGGAAGACTAGGGTTTGAAGATACTATTCAAGAAGTATAATTCAGTGAGATAAGGTTAGAAAGACAAAGGTAGAGGTGCTGACGAGTCCAGAAGATTAGGATTTGAGAGAGCACAACGAATGGAAGCACTTGCGCCATTGCAAACGATTTTGAGCCATGTCGTTCAAGGTCTCTAACCATCGGTGACTATCACTTCGCGGACCCCAACCAGGGAGCCTACATCTACCAACATTACTCAGTCCACTTGTCAATGACTTCATGGATTTCGGCCATGTTTTGGTCTGGCCGCCCCTAGCTTTCTTCCAACCTACTTTCACACCACAAAACATAGCTCGTTGAGGCAGTTGGTGCTTAGGCGATCGTAACACATGTCCCAATCACCTCAACTGATGAATTTTCACCACTTCATCTATTGATCTGCCATCGTTGCCTAGTACTCGCTTCCTAACGACAGCATTGCTTACTCGGTTGTCCCACGATATTCGAGCGATGCTTCTTAAACATCTTTGATCGAATACTAGCAACCTACTTTATTATGTTCAGATTCTTGTTAGGAATTATTTGTTTTCTTTTGTGAACAGAGAGCGATGACGACAACTCCAGCGAACTTCACTAATATGTATTTGGTTTGTTGGGTTTTCTTCCCTAGATAACTACTAGCCACTCTATGTTTATATACATATATATTACACAATAAATGTGACTTCTTGTTTTCGTGAAATGCCAGACTCTTACTGGACCCCCGACATTTCTGTCTTTCATGACGTTGAGGATTGTATTGTTGAAGTGATGTGTGCCAGTCGTTTGATCTATCGAGTTCATATATCTCACTAGAATACATATCTTAGTAATACATATCTCAACCATTCATTTATTAGGGATTGTCGTGAATCACTCAAATACAAAACGTAGCGATTTCCACAAATTTTTCAAGTGAACTATAATAAGGAGTATTGTGATGAACATAACAACCAACAAATTTAATTTTTTCGATTAAATATAGTTGACATTAACACCTCTACATATCTGGGCAGCATCATCGACAACCAAGGTGGATCCGATGCAGATGTGATGGCGCGGATTGGCAAAGCAAGGGCTGCATTTCTACAGTTGAAAAATATCTGCAACTCCAAACAACTTTCAACCAAAACCAAAATCAGGATTTTCAACACAAATGTGAAGACAGTTCTACTGTATGGAGCAGAAACTTGGAGAACTACGAAAGCCATCATCCAGAAGATACAAGTGTTTATTAACAGTTGTCTACGCAAAATACTTCGTATTCGTTGGCCAGAAACCATCAGCAACAACGTACTGTGGGAGAGAACAATCAAGATTCCAGTGGAGGAGGAAATCAGGAAGAAGCGGTGTAAGTGGATAGGACACACACTACGAAAAGCACCTAACTGTGTCACGAGACAAGCCCTCACATGGAACCCTCAAGGCGAAAGGAAAAGAGGAAGGCCAAGGAGCACACTACGCCGAGAAATAGAGAAAGATATGAGAGGAATGAACAAACATTGGACAGAACTGGAGAGGGAAGCCCAGGACAGAGTTGGTTGGAGAAAACTGGTGGGCGGCCTATGCTCCATTGGGGGTAACAGGCGTAAGTAAGCAAGTAAGTAAGTAAGTATAGTTGAAATAAACTGATACTCCAGATTTATTTTAACAATCGACGAATTAATGCTTATTGGCCTATTTTTTTTATCGCAACAAATTAAAATCAATCTTTTATCAAAAGTTTACTAAGCAACTGATTCAGTTTGGACAATCAGATAGTTTGACTAGTTCTAAATTGAAGTCAATGTCTTACATCAAATACACAAATTTGTTTAATTGACAAATACGTTACATTATTATATAAATAACTTATGATTATTAGGATATGTTCACCTGGCTAAATCGGATAGATAATATTCAAATTACAAATCGAATTAATAACAAATAAATCTTCATCGAACTTAACTCATTATAACGGTTTAAAATCTACACGTTATCAGCTTCTAGTTTCGCTTTACATATTCTCTGAATCTAAAGCTTGCATGATTACTGATTACTACTACTACTACTACTACTATCCTAATTGAAAGTAACTGCATTATATGTGCTAGCTGGCTTGCCGAAATAACCTCTTCTTATGCTCTTTCTACAAGTTTTCCCAATCCACACTATTCTGCATGCTTCCCTATTAGTATACAGTGTATTTTCTGACTAGACACAAACTGCTACACGCATTAACTACCATATACTAGTTGTCAATATTACACAAAAATGTTAATTTAAATTAATTCCACCAGACCGAATAAGATCTGAGTAAGATCTTTACAGGTATTCCATTATATTCTTCATCTATGAATAAATGAATGTTTATCATTATATGAATATGTAAATATCAACATCTTTCCCTCAATACATATAAACAATGGAATAATATGAAATTTTCCATATGGTCTAATCTAAAACAAACAAACAGAAAAAAATAGGTCATGCCAACTTTTCCTGAATATGTAACTAAGAGAGTTAAATATTTTCAAAACATGAACAGGTGTTAGAAAATAATAAAAAACCCAAACAAATATACAATGCATAATACAATAATTGAATGATTATCTCGTAATATGTGCGGTTTCATAATGTTTGTATACAGTAACGTGTAAAAAATATTAACTTACAGCATCCATCATAATGTTATTTATGTAATCAATTACATTATTTTTGATTTTTTCATCAGATTTCAGAAATCTATTTAATTTATATTCAAATGAATAATTTAATAAATCAGCATGTATACGATCCATTTGTCCAAGTCTAATAATACGAGTTTCACCAGTCTAGAAAGACAAAAAAATAATAATAATAATGGGGAAATAACAATGATGAACTAATTCCATTACAGTGTGTGATAAAATGGGTTTGAAAACGTTATGAAATGAATGATAGTTTATTTTAACTTGAATATAATCCTTAAGTTTTTAAACTGTGTATGGATAAATCAGATGAGTCTACATGAAAAGCTGCTAGAAATCGAACTAGATCACATGACTTAACTAAAAATATGAATGCAGATGATAATAGTTTGATTTCAAGAGACTACACTGGTAAAATCGTCGCTTCAAACTTCCGACTCTTAAACCAGGTAGAGAAAACGATTCAGTAATCATCAGCTTCTAATGATTGTTTCCGGGTAATCTTAGTATTCATAACAAAAACGATATTAACCAAGAGTAATTTTCTTTCAAACATACAAAAATAATCAATAATTATGTTTGTAACATTGCTCGATTATACTTAAGCATTTATTATAAACCAGAGAGAAAAACGAGAAAGTGATAAACTACATCAGCAACAAACAACACTTACTTGACATAATCTTACAAGTAAATTGTCAACAGCTGAATGAGTATGTGCTGTGACAAGAATTTTTTTCTTCAATATAATAAGTACACGTAATAATGCTATCAAAGTTTCAGTTTTTCCTGAAAAACAAAACATCCAAACGAATAATAATATAAGCAATATGAAATAATGCAACATATTGAAAAATAAAAGATCACAATACTAAACATTTCAATTTAGCAAATGTTTACCATTAAGTGAATAAATGCAAGCTAATCAATCCGGTATAGTATAATTTATCCTGTTTACCTTGATACTTACGACTTAAACTACATCATCTGTCATATATTTAGTACTAAGAAACATATAAACATTGAGTGAATGTCGACATTACATCATACTGAAAACCACAGAAAAAAATAGTACTAGAACTTCTGCTTACTCCTGTATTTTCAAGAGTTATTATTGCTGATAGCCCAATGTCAGTTGATGGCTATTTTGCTTGGTATACACTAATAAGTTTTCGTTAGGATTCATAAAAACGAAATAACATTTATGCATATTTGATATTAAGCTCATAATTTTCGTACATAAAAAGTGCTACATACCGATAACAAAATATACTAAACACACATATTGAAAAATTATATTTACAAAATAAAAAGATACCTGATCCAGGATATCCTTTGATTAGAAGATAATTTTTTGAGAACAGTGATTGCAATATAGCTGTACGTTGGTTTATATTCAATGGTTTCAGAATAAAGCGTACTATAAATAAATAAAAATTAAATCAAACAGATGATAAATAATCACTACTTTCTTTAACAGTCTTCTTAGATATTGTTTTCAACATATCCGGTGTATGACCATCAATGATAAGCTCTCGTAGTAAATGGCTAGAACAAAAAATATTAACGGAAAACAATGGTAGAATATTGAATACAATCAACTGAACGAATTATTTATATAAGAATAATTCAAAAAAGACAAATCTGGAGAGAGACTGTACCACTATATGGATAATACACGTACAAAAATGCTAAAACTTAATGGCTTTCTGAAGATATATTTACTACAACAACAGTGTAAGTCGATCAATGATACAGTGATATCAGGACACATTATGGAATGAATAGTAAAACTCAAAATCTTTGAGGTTCAAACACTTTAGTTTGATACCAGTGTTGGTTTTAAAAGTTACTAGTGAGTAATCAGAACTATTTCATCAATGATTCAAACTCAACCTGGATGCACTGGATGGCCGTTCTGTCGTGGTACGGAACTCACCAGCAGCACGCCAGGACGACTCACGTTAATCGCAGGGATTGAACGTAGGAACTTCGGTCTTGCGCGCGAACGGCTAACCTCTAGACCACTGAGCCGGCATCTAACGATGTTAATGTCTAACTCTGGTCAGTCTAAGGTTTTGCGCAACACCACTCATGATATTCAGCCAACATTAAACACATATAACAATAAACATAGAAGTTAACTTGAAGGTCTTTCATTCCAACAAACATGATGAATCCTGTGATGGTGGTGAATATTTGTAGCTCAGGATGAGGATTTTGAGTGTCTTTTCTTTGAACTAAAACCGAAGCACTAATCGTAGTAACAATGTGATTGCTTAGATATCAACAATGTTATTACTAAAACCCAATTACTTCGGTAGGTGTAAAGAGATAGTAATAAAAAACCAGTTAAAACATATATATACTTACCATAACTTAGAATTCCGCATTAGACCCACTAAGTTGGATAAATTCAACTGAATTGCTTTCATTGACACATAACGATCAATACGAAACAATTTAATTCGATCAGGAAATGACCTAAGAACAATGAAGTGATTATATCATCTTGTTTATTTATACGTCTTAATATATATTGAAAAGGAAATTACCTAGTTGAAATGAGAGATAATGCATATTTCTTATAGTCCGACACTGGTGGGACCGATTCATAATCAGTAAAATCAAATTCATGAAATCCTTCAACTGGAGCAATAGTTGCTAACTCGATACCAAGAAAACGAGAATCATCACTGCTGACAATGACAAAATCACCAATACTGAGATTTGAAAGGGATCTGAAATAAATTTAAGAAAAATGAAGAAAGAAACGATGAATTTCATAAAATTGATTTAAAAAATAATAAGCAATTTGTGTAAATTGAAAAAATGAGATTGAACAAAAAAATATGAAAACTAATTTAGAAAATGGGTTCAATAGTACGTAAACAACATGGAGTATTCATTGACGGCTATCTATGCTCATTCGTTGAACAACTATTGAATAATATCGAATGTATCAGCATATTACAAACCATTTAGTTAACAGTTACTATCTTCTACATTAGCATATAAACAAACAATAAAGTGATATAGAGTATAAAGAAGATGTACTTTATATTAGCAGCAATAAGTACGATTGTTCTAATAAGTGAAATATTTTTATCATTAAACTTCAGTTAGATTATCTGTAGTATATTGTTTGACTTGTTATCAAAGTGATAAAAAAACAACTCTGTATGAATACGTTAAAAGAAAGGTTGTATCATACATTGTTTAAATCAATATTGAACTGAAACTTTAATTAAAGGTCACTTTTATTAATTAACATTCTGAGTTCAGATGGTGAAAATCGAATTGGAAACCTACTTGAGTTACAATCTATGAAACTTCAAAATGCTTTTGGATCAATAAGCATAGTTTATATTCCTACTGACTTTCATTCATGTGTATCTTATATTCAGCATTTATTAGGCTACATATGTTACGAAATACATCGTGAATATATATGCATTACTTACATTTGTATAAAATAACTAAATCATTGTTAAGTAGTGAATTTTAAAATTATATAAAACATACAATAAGGATTCATCATAAGGTTGATCAATGGATTTGTGTAAAATAAACCAACTTTGAACTTCACATTCACCAGATATTGAACTTTGTGAAATTTTCGTTTTCATTAAACGTAAACCACGAATAGTACCATTAGTGATGAGTCTACAAAAAAATAATTGTTTAAAAATAGTAATAATATGAAAATAATTTATTTATGCACAAGAGAAGAAGAAAGTAACGAAGTAACCTATTACGCTAACATATCTGAGTAATTACATACAGATTATAGGAATGAACAAAACTGGTCGACTAGAATGAAGATGGTTTTAATGTCATGACTAGCATATTAAGATGAATTTCAAATACAGCCGAATAGGATGAGCTTGAAAGGGTAAGTCAAGACAAGTCTAATAGAAATGTCTGAACAAGTTAAATAGTAATGACGAAATATACTAGTTTTGTTAATCTATATTGTTGCTTATTTCATGCTTAAATGATTTCCTCTTCATCGACAAAAATGCAAATGAAAAACTACTTGGTGATAACTAAAAAGATAAATTGTGTGCGAGATTGAAAATTGAACAAACGTTTGTTGAATTTAAGACTGAAATATGAAAAACCGTTCACATTATTATGAATGTGTCAATCAGAATAGGTTTTGGAAAAAAACCACACAGACTATGTTATATGACTTAAATCGAAAATAAAACATGCAACTTTAATGAAACTAACCATACACTATTCAAGTAAGATGAGGATAGTGTTAAACAGAATTCATAACAACGTTACAAAATAACAAAGACTAGCATCTACAGACTGCTTAGCAAATAATTGAATTCATACATTGGACTCTGATATTGGTTGAATAGGAAAACGAAGTTTTATCTATTCTAGTGAATGGTATTAAACTGTGTAATTAAATTACTATCCATTACATTAGGTATATTTAATAAAGTGATCAAGTAACTTTGACAAGCATTTGTTCTGTTAGAGGTAGTTTTAAAATGCAAAAGAAGCAGGTTATTTACCAAGTTATATAATAATAGCAATACTAATAATAATAATAATAATAATAATTATTATTATTATTATTATTATTATTGTTATTATTATTAGGTGCATTGGTGCTAAAAATTATCTTCCTAAATGATTTATATGAACAAAGTGTGAATTGACGATTCAACCCCAATCCATCTTTAGATCGACTACAAAGCTTAAGTTTTAACATAAACTATCAATTCTGAAAACTGAAAGATATATAAAAAAAAATTTCAAGTTAGGATAAACTAATTTCCTTTTTCCGTAGCGAATCCATAGAGTCAACTATCTAACAGCAGCAAAAAAAAGATTGTATTGTTAGATTAAATAACTGACACTTTTGAAAATAAAACTCTCTTAACTGATATAAGGAATCAATAAATCATGAATAAAGTAAAGGATAGTATTGAGAAACCAATTTTGAAAAGAACATGAGAATTCAAATATATATATATATATATATATATATAATTATTGTTACTTGTCAGCTTTTAAAGATGTCTTGTATATGTTTCCGATCACATCTTCGAAACGTTCATTATCCATATATTCTGTCAATAAGAGTTTAGACCATTTAATAAAAAAGTTAATGTACTCTTGTTGAAGATGAGACCGATTGTTTATGAGAAGTTTTTGAACACTGGAAAATGAATCACATGCATTTGAATGCCTGTATGGAAAAAAAATACCATAAGACATACATGATTTAGATCAGGAAGAATTTAGTAGTAATTTATTGATGGCAGCCTAAAAACTCTTTTTTTAAAGTGCTGTGTAGAGATCATTAAATGAACATAACTCGGTCCAGATTTCAATTCACCAATAGTTACTAAAGTAATGCTTAATTTTGAAACACTGCTGTTACACTTGTATTTCAACTAACAGTAGAGTTCAAAATCTGACAAAATTGTGATTTATCTGACTGTACCGATTGATAATTACGATTTACGTAATGCCCCTTCACTGAAAGTCGAAGTAACAAACACATAGAAATCCAGAAATAAATATTACCTACCTTGATGACTAAAGACGTGAAACATACTAATGATAAATAATATATTTTTTTACACTTTATAAACAACGCACTAGTAAACTTACGGTTTTGTAGGACTTTCTGCAAATAAACTACACGTTAGCTGTAGACTGCAAGTTTGACAAACACGTAGTTGATTTATACAACCAGGTAGTTTAAGTTTCTGAATATCAACATCTGGTTGCTCATAAGAAGCATTAGCTGACCTTAGTAGATCGACAATTCCTGAGACCAACCTGTTTCTCATCTGTAAAAGACCACGAAAACTATTAATATCTGGATAGAGGATTCCGGGATTTGTGTACGAACTCTGTTTTTTGAAATTCGGTTTCATTGGCTCCTTCAGATAGACAAGCCAACCAGCATTTGCAACTGGAACTCTTTTATATTTAAACGTATCGTAATGCGAACCATAAAATTCTCTAGCCAATAGTAAGTATAAATAGACCTAAAATGTAATATGTCAAAAAGTGATTGATGTAGTAAGTATAGCAAATAAATAGTAACAAAGATGATCTACATACAAGTGAATTGGAAAAAATAAAACTGGACAGACAACAGTATAATAATGATTACCGATGATGAAGCTTCATAATTGTCAGTCGCTTCAGAAAAACAAGTTTAAAGGATAGGTATATTGAGTGATAGGTAAAAGATGGAGAGAGGACAAATATGCACTGAATGAAGCTTTAAAAACTCTGATTATATACAAGCATATCATATACAGGCACACATATGCTTTAGTTAATTACATTGAAAGAGGTATGTGGAATGGAATAGAAAATCATATTCAGTTATTGTTATACGCAAGTGACATGTCACACGAATTTATTTGAGATAGGGTAACACAGAACACCAGAAAGTAAGACGTAACTCCTAACTAATGAGAACTTATGACATTGCTAATATTGTAGCAACCCAGGATCATTAGAGGAAGCGGTGAGAAATTGCTTGTTTGAACACTGGGTTCCTATCCGATGATCAACTTGTAATAAATATCACAAACAAATCAGATTCATCATGAAAAAAAAATCATTACTGATTCCTCATACAAATCAAACACTGGCACAGTTTTACTATCCCTTCCTTAATTCATGCTGCTCCATAAACCACGTGATGTTCGTTTGATTTTAGAAAACTCATTCACCAGGTGCTCGGTTTTCAGCCACACTTTAAGCGTAAGGGATAATGGTGTTACCCGGTTGCCTAAACAGAAAAGGGTGGGACAGGATTTGCACCCGTGCTAAAAGTCAAAAACACCTTAACCACTAGTCAATCAATCTACCAACAGCAACGTAGAACTTCGTAAGTACGTACGTACATCAGTTCAAGTTACCATACCACATTAGCACAGAGATGTAATTGTCAATTCAAATCCGATAGTGGTAGAGGCAGTGAAAGTGGTAGCAGTAATCGGAGAGATTAAGGTTCGATGATATTATTCAAGAAGCACGATCCAGTGAAATAAACTTAAAAAGAAAAAGGTGATGGGGTATTCAGAAGGTTATGACTTGAGAGAACACAAAGAATGAATGCACCTGTGCCATTGCAAACAGTTTTAAGACAAGTTATTCAGGGTCTCTAACCATCGATTGCTATCATCTTGCGGGCCCAGCCAGGTAGTCGACAACTCCCGATATGAGTCAGTGCACTGGTCAGTGACTTCATGGATTTGTGCCATGTTATTGTTTGGCCGCCACTAGCTTTCGTCCAACCTATTCCTACGTCGCAAAACAGCTCGATGAGGCAGTCGGTGGTTAGGCAAACGCAGCACATGTCCCAACCACCTCAAATGATGAAGTTTCAATACTTCATCTATTGATCTGCTATCCTTGCCTAGGATCCGTTTCCTAACAACAGCATTGCTTACTCTGTTAAATATGGTAATCAAAACAATAGTTGATAAAAAAATCTTCTTTATCATATATTCGAAAATTTAATTTAAATTTAAAAAGCGATCACTATCCAACAAAACCTAATGAATACAAAGCTATGAGAAGAAGAAGGAAAAAAAATTAAAATACATACAAACTTACTTGACCTTTATGTTCAATTGAATAAGATGGATTACCAGTTTTTAATTCCATAGGAATTACATTTAACGTAGGTTTTAATTCACCAATCAAAGGAATTTCACATAATAATGTCGAGTCAATTTTTCCTTTCAAACCAAAACTAGATTAGAAAAAAAGATAAAAATGTGACAATCACTCATTAACCTACCTCCATGTAGAATTGATAGCCTTGATTTAATTGTCATTAATGTTTCAGTGATAATATAGATTTTTTAAAAAGATATAATAATTATTGACAACAACATAATTAAGAGTTTATGAAGGAGTTTTGCATTCTAACCAGAATCGCTTGTTTAATAGGTGTATAATACAGCAATAATTAAAAGGTTTCTGTAGTTGTTTCTCAGATAGATCAGAAGCAGTAATTAATAAACGAAGTGAGAATAAAATGATGTAAGTGTTTTGAACTTTTCATTTTCAAATTGTGTGTTTTTTAATTAACAAAAATTTGTACCGAGATATGCTCTTGAAACGTTGATATTTAAAAATAAGGTGTCCTGTTGTACATAATATTAGTGAATGTCTACCACGTATGCATATATAGTCCAAGTATAAATTCGATACACTCAACTTACCGACTTGACCAAATATTTTCTTCAATAGCAATGACATCTTCTACTTTCACTTGATTAACTGGCATACTGCTTAAAATTAAAAAATTAAAATGTACAAAACACATAATGACAATAGAGATAAATAAAAGAAAACAAACAAACTGACAAAACGTGTTTGATGAAATTAAGTAATAGTTTGTAAAACTAGTAGTATATTGCTGAGTTTATGATATTATTGGGAGATGAATTAAACAGGAAAGTATATATACAACTTACAACAATTATTAGTAACATTATTATTAAAACAATGCAGTTTTTTATTTCAATTACCAGGTCAATACTAACATTTTCCCAGAATCTTACATAAATAATACGTTTCATCAACGATAGTGAATGATATTGAAAAAAAAGTGCTAACAACTGATAAATATCATACAACAGGTACAAAATCAGTGTCATAATAGATAGAAGTCAAAGTTTAATACATTGCACTGTTCCCTTTTAGGTGAAAGGAAGATTAGGAAAAGAAATTCATTAAAAATGCCCAGAATGAAATATAAATACCGACTATACTGTTTTAGTCATTTAATCACAATCATGGTATGGTAGAAAGAAAGAGTCGATTACTATAATTCCTTATTATCAATAAGTTCAAAGTTGGTAGTATTCAAAATGTAGTAAAACATTTATTTCCCTACTTCTTGTATATGAAAACTTGATTGTAGTGTAACTCATATACCAAGTACATGTTTATTTACAAGGTTATGAGACAAAACGTTTATGTTAAAGTTCAATAAGGTATTTGCAATCATTAATTAAACATAAATAATTTACCTGGTATGATAAGGCAGCTGTTGAATACAGTGTGTTTGGGTCCAGTCAAAAATTTTCGGAATAAACTCTTCCAGTTTTGTAAACAACGTTTTTGGTTTAATATCAGAAGCGTACCTTAAGTATAAAAGTCAAAATGTAACAATGATTTCAATAAAAAAAACTTTACAATGTATTTTCTCTTTTCTACTCAAATGAGTTAGAACAAGTAATTAATAAGCAATGGATGAAGAATTACTTCGTAAAATATTAGATAATTATTTTCTACCACTGATAAACCAGTCAGTCTCAAGTGTTCTCAGCATTGAGAATTGCTGTTAGTTACTAATCAGAGATGGAATTGTAGTGTAGATTATTTGAATAAGAGGATAGGTAATGGTTAGATGTACTAGAATGACTCCGTTGTGCAGTTCCTGTGAATGTAATTTAGGCAGTTTCATATACTTCCAATGTTTGACTATTTACATTAAATATCTTTCCGAAAGATACAATATACATAAAAAATCAGATTCTTATACATCAAGGTGTTTTCAATAACATATCGATAGAATTTCTTCAGAAATTACGCTCTTTTCAAACTACGCAATCTCAACAACACCATGTCATAGCTTTAAAAAGTGAACAATAAAACAATTACACATTTTTGAAACCATGAATCGACCAATGTTAGACCACCATTAGAAACCTGGAAGCACTGGACGGCCGTTTCGTCCTGGTATGGGACTCCTCAGCAGTGCGCATCCACGACTCCTGCACCCCGCAGGATTCGAACCCAGGACCTTCGTTATTGTGAGCGAACGCCCTAACCGTCAGACCACTGAGCCGGTATCCAACGGTGTTAATGTCTAACTTGATCAAATTCACGGAGTTGCGCAACCTCATACACAGACTTCGATAGACACTGTCTTCACCCGAACAGGTTGAACTTCACTGGTCATGTCTTCCCACTAGAACTCGGGAAATAAAACAACTGTTTCAAATTTAAATATGGGAATTATAGTGACAGTATAGCTTTAGGTAATAAAAAATCAGTTTAATAAGCCATGAAAGTATATGAACTTGATTTTCAATATAATTGGCTGCGATCAAACAAAAGTAAGCATAATATTTCAAAAATGCGAAAGTACATTGTAGTTAATTAACCCTTGGACTTACATTTGTAAGACTACTGAAGGACGAAAAATGAGTCCCGAAATAATTTGTAAAACATCATCTTTTTGATTATTTTTTCTAGAAATTATCTGAAAACCAAAGCAACGGAAACATCCACTTAGAGAGAAATAAATGATGAACTTTCAAAATGAAGTCAAAGCACAATTGTGTAACTTAAATGCCGAAAGTAGATACACTAATGTGATTATCTTTAGATACTGCATGAATGATTATTTGTGTTATAAGTATTTGTCCCCTGGTAATCGGATATGAACTTAGCTCCACATACTACGATTTTAGAAGCTGTGTATTATCAATGACAAACATAAAGCATTAATGGCTTAAAGTCTACTATGTAGTTCTACTTTTTGTCACTGAGTTTAATAAAATCCATTTACAATAAAATGTGCCAATCAATACATTTTAGTACTATTATACACAATAATCGATAACCAGGTGAATGGGTGACAGGTATTGACGTAATTATCTACATGTCCACAATGAAGCTGATCCTAAATGGCCATAACACAAAGCTTAGGTAAAGAAACTACTGAACACGGTTATTAGTCAATCATTAATTTCTATAGGTAAAGCCATATTGATACAAAACACTTGTATCCAATCATGTTAGCAAAGCAGTTTAAAAGTTGAACAGATAAGGAGAGTAAGCACTTTAACTGATCTGCATTTAAGATAAGGTAGTGAAACTTCATCACTTGAGGAGGTTGGGACATATGTTACGTATGCCTAACCACCGACTGCCTCGATGAGCTGTTTTGTGGTGTAAGATTAGGTTGGAAAAAAGCTAAGGGCGGGCAAAACAAAACACGGCACAAATCCGTGAAGTCATTGACAGATGGACTGAGTCATGTTGGTAAGTGTACACAACCTGGTTGGGGTCCGCGAGACGAAAGTAACCGATGGTTAGAGACCTTGAATGACATGACTCAAAATCGTTTGCAATGACGCAGGTGCATCCACTCTTTGTGTTCGCTGAAATTCAAATCTTCTGAATTTCTCATCACCCCTATCTTTCTCTTTCTAAAGTTATCTCACTGAAGTATACTTCTTAAATAATATCTTCGAGCACTAATCTTCGCCATTACTGCTAATACTTCTACTTTCTCTACCACTATGGGATTTGAACTGATAATTGCGTCTGTGCTATTGTGGCATAGCAACATGAAATTATGTACGTACGTACGTTGTAAATGACTGATATTAAAATTTAAAGTAGACAAGCTTAATGAAATACTAATATTATATTTTATTCCTTAAAATCGATAACGGCGACATTCAAATTCCAAAATTTTTATAGTCTAATAAAAAAAAACGATTATAAGCATATAATCTTTCTACAACTAAAATACATTTTCTGTTCAGAAAGATTTTTACAAATAAAATAATGAAACAATTACCTTTTGAAAAAGTTCATGCACTAAACTACCCATCAACATAATATCAGATGAACAATTATAAGTTTGATTTGTAATTTCATTATCCTCATGATAACCACCATCTGTAATCCAAAATTGTTCCAATACTACACGTCTTAAACAATTTAAACTACTGACAACTTTTGTAGTAGGTAATAAATAATTTGGATATAAACATATTGCTGAACAATCATTATGAGTCTGATTATTATTATTATTATTATCTGATATAATTAAAGTAGAATTATTATATACAGCATTTTTTATATCACCAAATATATTTGGAATGATATTTATAGTATCTTTTATTCGAATAGGTGAATCCAACCTGAAAAGACAAAATGCACTACATAAACGTAATGTTCTTATGACAAAGGAAAATCAATAGGAAACATTAACAATTACTAAAAAAGGATAGAATTTTGTAATGTACATCATGGGCTGATCTTAGTTAAAGAACCAGTGAAAATTAGGAGGCACCAACTGCCTCCTTCCGAGGATCAGACCTAGGACCCTCTAGTTTCGAAGCGACTACTACGAATGGAATTGCCACTTTAATCGTATCGAAATCACAACCATCCGAATCGGAAGAATTGGGGCAATTATTTAGTATAATATCTGTTACTTGAAACAGTTTCGTAATAAAGAATACTGTGAACCTATTTAAACGTTTTATACTAGATGTTTCTTCAAGAAGACATTTAATTGATAGACATCAAAAAGTATTTCAGGAGGTGTAAGATAACCTAAATGTGAACAAAGTTCGACTCTACAGATTCTCCTAATAGGCAAAAGAAAAACCACCAGGCTGCTTAAACGAATCGAAAGCGAAAAGTCAAAATAAAAATATATAGCATACTCTTCCGAAAGCAAATTATATTACCAAAAAAAAAGCAACAACAATCGACAAGGAGTGAATAGGTATTTACTTACCAGGAATCACGTAGGATGATATTTATTACGGCTTTATTACCAGTTGTACAACTAACATCATCTAACTGGACAATCAATTCACTTTGGTCACTATGAAACATAACATAAACAAGTATGTTTACGTATGAATAGAAAATCAATTATATATTTATATGAAGAATCCGGAAATATGAATCAAAGATAGTTGAAAAAAATGACTCTAAAATCTACAAAAACGCCAAGGTGTATATCTCTGAATGACTAACAATCCACAGAATGTATGTAAACAGACTGTAGATAAAATTTGTTATATCACTGAATTTATGACCACTTTTAGGTAGAATCATGAGCTGTCCCAGAATTTACTTTCTCTGTCATATTTATATGAGTTTTAATTTAGCACGATAATGCTTTAGCAGTAATATTGATTTCTGATTAAATAGTCATTTTTCAATTAGAGTTATGGAGATTAGTGTTTTTGCACATTGAAACAATCAACCAATCATTGTTAGACCACCATTAGGTTAGGCGTTGGCGCGCAAGACCAAAAGTCCTGGGTTCGAATCCTGCGGGACGCAGGAGTTGTGGATGCGCACTGCTGATGAGTCCGATACCAGGACGAAACGGCCGTCCAGTGCTTTAAGGTTTCTAATGGCGGTCTAACAATGATTGATTGATGATTTCAATGTGTAGATATTTATTCATCTATTTACTCCATACTCTTCTCTGAACATATATCGCTTCCTGACTATAGCAGCTACCTTGACGTAGTGGTCAGATTTATATGTAATAAAATACTAAGAATAAAACCATGAGGTCCAAAAGAGAAGTCTCACTGCTAACCGTATTTGTGGTTGAAAGGAGTAAAATGCTTTTCTTAGACAACCGTCACTTACAACGAGCCCGAGTTATGCTTTAAAAAATCGACCCTAGAAATAGCACACTTCACCTTAGCTTACCGATTTCAGTCTCCTATGACAAGGCTTTTTGAAGTGCAGAAGCAATACATCAGTAAATGCATACATGAAGACTGTGAGTAACTAGCTTCAAGGAGTTGTCCTTGGGCTCTGTGGTCAACCAGTTTCGATGATCTGTTACAATCATTTATGTTTTTGACTTGCTAATATTTAGTTAAAAGAATTATGATGCATCGGACAAATCACAAGCATGAATTTCACTGAGTACGTGTAACTTTCGCTGCGAAAACTCTTTACTGAACTACTATTGCTCTTTTTTTTGGGGTTTTCGACGTTATTTTGTATCTTAAAAAAAACTCAAGGTGAACACTGGTAATCATCTAAACACACAGCACGTAAAGCGCATGACTCTCTTATTTTTTTTCTTCTGGCAATGAGAGCTAACATTTGATATCTTAAAAAAAAAAAAAGATTTCTTGATTAATTAAGCATAATTAATAATATATAACTAAAGTGAACTATGTGAAACGAAGCAGAAATTATGAGGAAAACAGTTACTAGAAGCAATTATTAATGGATAATATTTAAACAGATATAACCATCAGATTGACATATTTCAATTGTGTGCAGATATGAATTATTATTATTATTATTCTTATTATTATTATTATTATTATTATTATTATTCATGCTATTTTAGTATACGAACAAGAAAGTCAGTTCATGTGGTTGTTCACACAGTGTGTATCCTTAATAAATCACGCAAGCAAAATATAAAACATTACTGGAAAAAAAAAGAATCAAATAAGGTTGCATATATTTGAACTGTCAGTTATACATAAATTCTTATAAGATTGAAGTGTAAAAATAAGTAATCGCGAAAAGTTGTGTGCAAATTTTCAAAAATGTTGGCAATGACAAATGTTCAACAATGAAAGGAAAAAAATTCTCATTTAAATATTCATTTCTATACACTACTTTTTTTGTATGAAATGGTATCAAAGATATCGTGAAAAGAAAAAATCTTGTTTGTTGCTGTCGTCTGACCTTAACACATGAAAATATTTTGTTAAATACTATTCTATGGATTGAATAAAAATGTTTTTTACTGCATAATCTTGCATTGAATCTATGAATACAAAGACCTAGATAAATGAAAATTTTAACATACATTATGATTTACAATGTGTCTAGGTAGGTAGTAAGTAGGCACTGATTAACTTTTCGATTATTTCGATTTGAGTGACGAATGATGAAATAAAGTTAATTGGAAACGCTTAAGCCAAAAACAACTTCCAGGTTACTAATGATGGTCTAACACTGATCGATTCATGATTTCAATGAGTAACTTTACAATATCCACAACCCCATAATGTAAAAGTCTCAGAGTCATATTGAAGAATAGGTAAGTAGTTATGGACCTATCATAGAGTACAATCAAGTGTGAAAATGTAGGTTATTATTTTATTTACAATATTAAAAAAAAAACGTTTAATTCAGTATGACGCCAAGAAGTATTATACTATACCATTAATGGTAATACATAGCACTAAATGACTGGTTAAGAAACGTGAAAACATTTCATGTAGAAGATTGGAGTAATATTAATGAGCATCACACTATGTAGTGTATACTCTAATATAATATTGGAGAGTACATGTTTCATTCTCTTTTTACATAATGGACATTTTACAATTAACTACAACAACATAAACACACAAAAAAGTAGAACTAAAATATTTCATGACAGTCATTAAACGGACACTGATATTGATAATTCAAATTTGTAAATATAACAGACACATTAATGATAACTCACCATTTGCTATTTATCTCCATAACAGTTCCACGTAAAACGGATTGTTCCGGAATTCGAAATAACTGATCGTCAATAGTATCCTGTTGTTTTAACCTTTGTAAGCAAAAGAAACATTTGGACAATGAATCATTCTGATAATAATAACGAAAATTACCATACGCTGTGTAGCCACTCAGGCCTAAAATGTTACTCTTACACAAACAGTTAACATATCCATGAAAAAAAAATACTCGACTACAAATTAACTACGCAATAAATGTATCTACCCAAGGAACGAAATATGGAGCTGTGACCCATTAGGTAAGATGATTTCCTATAAAAAACTAGTTATCAGTTAGTATTATTAGCCACCGTTCAATACATACTGTTCACATTTACTTCAAAAGGTCAGAAAAAAAAATAAAACTTATGTTTCTCCTTGGTCTTGTTAACGAGTCTACAGACTACAGTTAGAAACGGAATTGATTATAGGTTTAGTCGTTAACTCAGCAATCAATCCTAACAATTATGTTGGTATATTCCAATGGATTATAAGGATTCCAAATACTACAGTTAATTACGTGGAAAATATCATAAAGACAATATTCAGGAAGCGATAAAACTGGTCGCAAAGTTGACTATGGAAGGATATGTCATTTTGTTAAGCAATATAATTACAGTAGTGCAGATTTTGCTGTGTACAATCACTGATAATTCGTTAGAATTGTTTATATTCGACAGATAATTCTGAAGTATGATAGTGGTCATTATAGAGACAGTTTGATAATCAAAGAATACTATCCCAGCCACAGTTACTGGCTAGAAAAAAACGATAGTTAATGAAAAGGTGATGGGAAATTAAGTCCATTGAAATCATTTGGATAAATACTTGGAAGGAAAGTGATTCATTGAACCAGAATCCAAAATAATATATATTTCTTACAATCATCATTCTTTTTCTGCATAAACACGATAAGATTACTGAAACAACAAAGGAAAATTTAAATTTTCTTAATTGAGTAGTAATTTGTTTTTTTTTATGAAACTAAATAAAACCACATTATAAGTGCGTCCAGTGAGAAAAACAATAAATCACTTACATGGTGGACTCTTCCTTAACAGGTGACCAATCACTTAAATTCAGTGACTGAAATGTTTCATCATGTACAGGGGATTGTGCGTTATGTTCAATGTGACAATTTGTTTGTGATGAATCTAAAGTGATTGTTTCCTGTTCAAGAGGCATATGACTAGGTAAGTTATCTTTTTGAACAAGTTGGTCTAGAATGTCATCTAATGCGGATAATTCTTCAGTATTGAGGTGGATTTCTTTAGGAACAGGCTGTTTTGAATTTGTATCCCCTTTTGGGTTAATTGTACCTTCAGGATTAGAAACGCTACATTTTTTTAACTTTCGGTTATTTGATAAATCTGGTGAATGAACATTTGAAATTTCAGTAGCTTTGCGCTTTGATGTCGAACGAGTAAGTAATGCCGTAGAAACCATCATTTTAGCACGGTTACTAGTAATTGCGGAACGATGAGATATTAAATCTTTGAATTCATTTTCCTTTGATGTTGCTTTCATGATCTGATCCTGAGGAGCATAATTTAGATGGTCATAGTTTCCCCGGCGAAGCTTAGCTGAAACTTGTGCTTGTCTGTTGGAACACATTTGTTGATTTTCATTCTCATCGATAGGATCACTAGAAAGTAGATCATGCAGCTTCGACTGAACAATCTCATCACGACGAACGGTAAGTGATGAACGACGAGCAACAATCTTGCGTTTGTGTAAGTTTGGGGATGAGACCTTATCTATTTGTACAGTTCTTAAACTTGCTCTACCAGTTAACGAAATTTCTAAAGCTCTGTCAGTAGAATCGGGTGTTCCAGGAATGATAAAGCTTTCATTACAACTAGACTGCTTTGAATCTATGAACCAAGAAAAATAAATATGAATCGAACATTTAAGATTTAGTTCGAATTAATTAATCTATTAGTAATATTTTTTAAATGAAAAATAACTGCGTTTGTCGTCTTATCTAATTTGCGTAGACATCGGGGAAAAAAAATTGGGTACTACATAAAGTTCATTGTTCTTTCATATCTAATATTCAATCAAACGGTTTAAAAACATTTATATTAGATTTTGGTCTATTTTCAATTTAAAGTATAACCTTATATCAATTGATACAAACTGAATAAACCCTTTTCCTAAGTCTACTTAACATACTTATGCAAACAATTGTTTTACACTGTAAGATTGTTATGTTTACTCATAACAAACAAATACAAAATACTGAGTGTTGAGATTGTAAATAAGAAATATAATTTGTATAACAAACAACAAACATACTCTTAATGATAATCGGGAAGTTCGAGTTTTCTGCAATATGAACTGCTTGACAATGAATTACCTTTAATCATTAAACTTGACTAACTTTCATAAAACTTGATCATAATAATTTAGAAAGTTGAAAAAAAAACACCAGCGAGAAAAATGTTTCGTAAAAATGACAACCAAAATAAGCAGATTACCTTTAAGTTCAATAACTGTATTTGGTGATTTATGTAAGGATGTAGATGATGAATCTTCGTGTTTCTATTTCATTGAAATTTTAAAAAAAACAAATAATTAAGTTGAGGTTGACATAAAGATAATAAGATTTACTAAAGCATAAAATATGATGGAATAATTTAGATTAACACATATACATGACAGTGATAGAATAAGATTTTACACTGGTAATCAAATGATTGCAGTGATATTTTCTAACTCTAAACATCTCTAAATCAATTTTTGGAAATGACTTAACGTTTGTATAGAAATTTATGACAGTAAATAAATCATCTCAAAAGAAAATGTATAGTCAAGTGAAAATGGATTCAGGAACAAGTTCGGAATTCACAACAATGAATCAAGATTTTAAAGGTGCTCTTACTTAAGTCTTGGGTGAAAGTTAACATCCAATACAAATCATAGCACGCAGGATATAACTGGAGTAGTTAATGAACGACAACTCTAAACCAGTGGTTTTTATCGGGTTTGTGATCCTAATAAGACGAGTAGTATATGAACCTAATCTATGAAAATCATTGTTTTTAAGTTCAGTCTATAATCAATATCATCATACTCAAAAAAATGAAATGAACGTAGACAGAGAACACAAATAATTCACCTAACCAATGCCGATAAACTCATCTTACGGGAAAGAAATTATTCTGTACGACTATAGGTTTCTAACGTTTTGTTTTTACATGAATTATATTCGACTTTGATTAAAATGAATGTAAAAGCACCTGAGAGAGGAAACAGTTTTGTCTCGATGTATTATCTAACCAATAATAACTTCCAGTATAATCATCATCGATGGGTATTCTGGAGACCCACGTCTGTAACTCAAGCTTCAATTCTAAAAGATTACAATGCAACCGGCTACCGATGATTTTTCACTTTATTCTGATTATTTTCTGATATGCAGTTAACTTGTCTTCTGATTGGAAGAGTTGATACAAATAAACCACATGGTTGAATGAATTAGACCTAGGCATGTAATAAGCCCTTATATCCAAAAGATTAATCGCATGGAATGCAATCGATGTAAAGAGTGGAAAACACTTTTCTACAAAATTAATCAATCATATACTTAGTGAACACACAACTTCAGAACCAAACTGTGATTGATAAGAAATATGAAATCAAAAATTTACTGATAGTGAATATTAAATATATAGAGAAATTATTCACAAACATTCAACCTTACAATAAAAAGATGTATACTCACTTTACCAAAAAAATTTAGTAAATTCGATTGTTTCATCCCGTCAAAAAAATCTGCAAAATAATACTTTGTTCAAAATCTTACCATTCAAAAGAAAACACATAATGATATATAAAGAATGCTTTAAGATTAATCAATTTACATACCATTATGCTGAGACTAGTTAGCTAAATACCGACTTATATCTTCAAAGTGCAAAAGATAACTTTCGATTCAATCGGCTTATACTATTAGTGCTAGATTCTACTGAAACGCACAAATGCATAAAGCTGATGACAGACAGAGTTCATATGTTGTGGTGCATATACTAAGATTCCACTCCTTAAGATATAATCATTAATTCCAATGCTCAAAAGCCAGGAATTTTATTTCAAAGTGAAATCAACTAACTTTTAATGTTTTTTTTAACGAAATTTACTATCATTAATGTCATTCTTACGGTCTTCAAAACTGTGGAGAAAACATAATTTTATTCATATATTAGGATACACACAACAAACTTCGACTCGCTCTGAAAAGCACAAACAGCCTTTTCCAACTTGCGACTACTGCTCACCGGTATTTAAATTTTTCTCGTTGCAAGCCTAATTTTAAAGTAAACACATATTATCAATACGATATCAGAGTTTGCATTTTAAAAGTTTAGGCTATTGAAACTATCAACTGTTTATTATGCAAGTTGCATATACAGAGGTTAACAAGTTTTATTTATTGATGATAATGTTTACAGGTCATTTGCAGCTCAGAGTTAGTCCATCAATCACTCATAGACAATGTAAGACTTGACAAAAGTATGCATCAACCTAATTCGTCACATAGATAAGTGTAACTAATAGGAATAAAATCAAATGAGAGGAAGTAGTATCCATTACAATCAAGAGTTGTGCATAAGAGATATATTCTGAAAGGAGTGAACGATAAAAAAAAACTTAAGATTACGAGGGTACGAAGTGAATGCAATAATAACAACATGGTTAATTTTAAGCCGTCACTGAATGTTTCTAACTTTGATTATAGCGAAAATCCTAGTCCAGGAGTTTATACCTACATGTAATGATAAAACTTACCAGAACAGTTGGTGAATTTATAAATCGATGTCATATCTTATGATAGTTTTTACCAACCTACTCAAATATAAAATAATATTACGAGCAAAACGAATCGATCCAGGTTTATGTACTGATCAAACTACCTACGTCTACCTGAAACCCTACAACTGACCTTAGAACTACATAATTGGTGATTTCCTAAGTGTTTTGGAGATACTGATGAACAAATAGTAGTAACCTACTGAAGTCTTCTGCTTTGTACAGCAACATGGAGCAAACTACTTGAAGTTATGTGAATAAAGGTTTACAGGAAATTCATCCTCTACATAACCTGAGTCGATTTATTTCACAACTCAAAGATAGATTTATGCTATCAATCACTTATTCCGAATTCGAAAAAGTGTATGAAAATTAGTGCGTCATTTATTTTAAACTCAAAGTAGTGAAGTTTGGAGCCGAAATCAAATATGTTTTTTTATCTATCCGGTTTTACCTTGACATCTGAAGATTATGGATTAGACAAAATAATTCCTTTATCATAGAAAAGTGGATCTGCGCTTCTTTTATAAAAGAGGAAATTAGTACGATGAAATTAAGCCCGTCTCTCACTATTTACCATAGTTCCAATCATAAGTTCCTTGATAAGTCATACGAAGGCTGTAAATAAATATCAGTATTTATTTTATAAACAATGCAGTTTATTAACCAAATATACTTTTTATTTTCAGTTTTGAGTGAAACTTTATTGTACTAAACATTGGTACCATTTCTTTGTACAACCAGAAGTAGGTCCAGTCAATTTTCAATCTCAGGTTAATAGTTGAAAACTGAAAGTTTTATTCATTAAGATAAATATTTCTCTGACGTCCATGATTACTTAAAAATAAATGTAGAAATCCATAAAGTTCAATATCAATGTAAGAGTTTTCCGCCTAAATTGTTTCTACTGTGACACCGAGTAGTATTGATTACCATGTACACTTAATAAACAGTACACCTAAGCATCTTGGATGCTGATTTATACTTATATTTATTATTCATTAAAAAAGCTTACTTTTACCAAAACAAACAAAATATCACATTATGCTCAGATAAATTTGCGGTAACCTAATGAGAACACTTATTTCTTGACAGAATAAAAGAATAAAGAGATAACTAAAGACTATATTATTTAACTAGCAGGTAATTACAAGTAAAAAATAAGCAGAAATAAAACTTTGGTATACAAAGATGTTTTTATAAACGAAGAAAATAAGAGGGCTATACATAGGTTGCAATCATTGGCTCTATTTTACACAAAATAGGATGATAATATCAGGTACATGTTAAATGAAAAAAAATTTTAAAATGTGTAGCATTGCATAAGTTATTATAAGTTGGTAACGAATAATTTCAGAGCTGAAATTAGACTATCTTTTCAATTTGACTGTTTTCACCGGAATTCCAAACATGAGGTAATTCAGATTCAGTTTCCACTTCAGAACTAGCATCCGGATTTGAGAGTAGAGGATTGGTTTCGCTATCACCGTACACGATGTTATCACAGTCAATTGCATCGGCATCAAGAGATACAACACCATGATAAGTTCCTGAAACGTTGTGACAGCGTGAAAGTCGACGGTCAGAGGAGAAGTTAAAATGTCTTACGGTATGACCTGTAATAAGATAAAATCAAATGTGAGCTATTAGAGAAACATCATTTCCAAAATGAATGAATAACTCAATACTGAAAAAATTGAAAATAAACATTAAGTATAGAACGCGTAAACTTTCGCAAGACAAACTCTTCAAACATATCAGTGAACCAAGTTATTAGCCAAATCTACCATGAAGTTAACGATGTCAATTGTTAACCTGATCTGAAGTAAATGAATAAAGATTTAAATAGATCGATAAAAGGTAAGTAGAAAATTAGTTATAGATCAAGATATACAAAAATACAACTTAAACAGTCAAACTTTATTGTAGTCTAGAATGAACGTAGGGAATAGTTTACAATAAGCTACATAATTTTTAAACAAGACGTGTATAATATATTACTAACGCATCAAAATGACTAAAAGATCGACAATTCAAATGAAACAGTAAAGGTGTACTTGATGATACTATTAAATTGTTTTTACAAGTAAAATTTGTTTCGAATTATACGTGGTAACAACAAAAAATTAACTAGATATGAATTCAATGGAGCGAACGAAATCTCAGTGTTTCCTACTTTATGTCATTGCCAATAACTCGAGTACAACGCATTTAATACTGAAAACAGCAATGTATTAAAGGTGGTGACTAATGGGCCATAGAATTAACAAAACTATGGGATGAACATTATTCATTTTCATAAATAGAAGCTAAGGGATACGTAGATTGAAAATGATAATTAATGGTGTAATCACATATCAATTGAAATTGATTTTATCATGGATCTATATTGATTTAAAGAGAACTATAAACCAGGTAACGATGACAGACATTACGACCCTACACTGGATCAAATACAATACCTAGATGATTTAAATGATGAAGTTGAGGAGCAACCTAGCTATGACAAAACGACTGTCTAGTTATGATTCAGTTTAAAAACGTATTTCATATGTTAGTTTGTGCCTAAAATGATATTCAGACTAGCCAACTCCCGAAAAAGGATTTCCTTGAATTCAATAAACTTTAACTCATCGATAATTTAATATAACATTATTTGAGTAAAAAAGAATGTGTCTTACATAGTATATAAATGCAAATTAAGCGTCATTTGAATTTTAAACAAGTAGTTCAACTATAAGAAATCTAGAAACAATAATATCAAATTCTACTATGCTGTTAGGTTTAAGTGGAATGAGATATTATTGCAGCAACAAAATAAGGAATCAGAAAGAGATGATTGATGTAATGTAGTCAAACACTGCTAAACCCACGAAGTAGAATTCCGATTATCGATTAATTAACCTATGTTGTTGGTACTATCGTTAACTTTCTAATTACTAATTGATATACCAACCAATTGACAACGAGCAAAATTTTATCGGTTCTCGAGCACCTTCAACTCACCAGTCAAGCAGAAGACGCAAATAAGAAACAGATCAGTTCTCTATCTCAATTAATTCAAATATGACTCAGAACGCATATACTAATAAACTTGAGATGCCTGACCACAATTTACACTTAATAAAGTCACAGGTGGCAGAGAAGTAAATTAAATAGTACATAATTAATTAAAAATACATAAGAAATAAGAAATGGTATAGCAACAGGTTCAATGAAACCTTACAATAAGACGAGTATAAAATACGAAAAATACTTTAACTATTAATTATGCAATAAAATGTGGAATAATCGTAATTCGAAAAACAATTCTAAAATTTTCAACTTTTCAGTTTTAATAATTACGAAATCTCATTAACTTACCAATGTGTCTAACATGTTCTACAACATCTCGTCGCATGTCTGATACATCCCACATAGATCGCCAAGAGTAACAACAATTAGTTGGTTCCGAGTTAGGATCCACATACGGTGTCCAGGAGAAGGAAAAGTGATGGGCTACTGCTGCAATAAACATTTCGATACATATAGCGAAATTCTGTATAGGTACAAAACAGGAACGTGTATACAAAAAAACTAGGTAATCGTATCGACCAGGATATTTGCATAAAGTGTTAAAAAACTAAAAATAATTTCTTAAAAAGACTCCAACCAGTAAAGCCACTGAGGAAAAACAGTAAAATAGAATGAAAAAGTCACCAGCCTATTATAAATAAATTACTTAAGCAAAATCATATGAACTAGAGTACTTGATGTTATCAACAGTACTCTTACATTAGATATTATTTGACTTCACATTAAAGTTTCGACAATCAGTCAATCAACAGTAACGTAGAACTTCGTACGTACATCAGTTCAAGTTGTCATACAACATAAGCACAGAGATGTAATTTTCAATTCAATTCCTATAAGAGTCTTTAAGTTTCTTTGTTCTAAGACCTATCGTAGTGTGAAAGAGTGGTCTATAGAGCCATGTCGAGGTCTGAAACCAGCCTCCTTTTCTCTAGTCTACTCTTTATGAGCTCACTGTGAAATGAAATGTATAAACTTACTTCTTATTTCTTGACACATAAGGTGACAAAAACGAACATTTTACAGGTGCAAGTTTAAAGGCTAAAGCATTCTTTATACTACCACTAAAATGATAGTATGAACCCTTCTCGAACACACCCAGTTTGGTAAGACGGATATCACTACCCTTTACAAAATAATGCGCCTCAACGCCAAGTACTTTGTACTGCCCTTACGTAAATGAGTTTCATTATTAAAACCTAAGTGATATAAGATATACTATAAGTATTATAATAGGATAATTGATCTCCTGAAATACATATTTGGTCAAGATACGCACAGTTTACACCACATGGTGCATAATTGGTATTGACTTGGAAATGATTTTAGAAGAAACATGGTAAGAACTATGAACTACTAACAAGTAGCATAAGAAATATAGCAAAAGTTATAGTAAGAAGAAATCCATGCAAAAATTTCATATTTACTTGCAAAGCAATACCAATAGAGTGGACGTCATATAATTTCCAGGCTTCCACTTTCCTGATAACACCAGTAGCAGCAAGTACTGCGATTAAAATGGACTGCCTATTCAGAAAAAACAAAAGGAAGTCGAAATAGCAACAACTTACAAACTACCGTCTGCGATGAAATCGAAAAATGTTGACAGAAAATGGTACAGGTGATATGCTGCTAAAGTTAGTAGCAAATAAATAATAAGCATTTTAACTTAATTATATGGTGAACCCTATTATTGATACTCTAAATGTAATACTTTTATCAGCAGCTGATGTGGATAGCTGCACGTTATTATAAACTGACTAACTGAATAGTGGAAATACAGTTTAGAAAACATCTACGGTAATAGACTCATTGTTATAAATATTCAACAATAATACAAACTAATATCCAACTTTATTCAGTTAAAAAGACATTATCATGCATTGACATTAACTATCCATTGATAATTGGAGTAAATGTAATCACATCACACATGTAGGCTTTGTAGGTGGAAGACATACTTCTTGACCTCGAGTAAAAATTAGCAATATGAGCGGAATACTTAAGCACACTAATTTATTCGGACGTAATTTTTTAAAAATAATATAGTAGCCGACCAAGCATAGTCTAGGTTAAGGTAGTTGCAGATGATAAGGATATACAATTAAAGGTGGTGGCCGAAGTTGAACAGCTAGTATATGACTTTTTGGGTTATAAGTCATCATCTGTGAAATAACCGACACAAATTATGAATAACAGACCTAGAAGTGTAGATTTCTGTAAGGAAGAGTGGAGGTAGATGACAATGAACTTGTTGATCACAATTAAGTTGCAGTTAAGACTTCCTGCGTTTCCAATTTACTTAATATCTGAAGCATAAACAGAAACTGATCATCATGAAGCTATATCTTCATCTAATGTTCAAAAGATTCAGTCAACGTTACACAGGTCAACTATTACAGCTTAGATTTTCTGAGTAGGTGTTATAACGCTGCTACGTATAGCTATTCAGTCCTAGCGGCGTCCAATTCAAATATCACAATATGACCCAAAATGCTATTTCCAAATCTCCTATATATCAGAACGCAACACCGTGGGATGGAGTTGCTTATTGGGTCGAGTACAGAAGAGAGGTAGGCAGGAGAAACGGAATCGGAATCATGAAGGCTTACAGATAGTGCGTATTTATACACTAAGGTCGAATAGGAAAGAGCATCAAAGTCTGTGACATTGACAGTTTAGGACGGCCAATAGGAAAGAACATTTGAAATGACACTGACAGTCCGGAAGACCAATCAGAGACAACATTGAAGTATTTGACTTTGACAGTTAGAACGACCATAATTTCGACCAATAGGATTATACTTCCAAAAATAGTACTCTCAGGATATTCGGTATATATCCTAACAGTAGGATATATAAAAAACCAAATTAACTCAATTTAATGTTGTACAAACCATCATCAATAAAATCCGGTTATCGTAAGGTAAAATGATGGTAAAAAGTAATTACACTCACCAAAAGGACATGAAAACGACGAATTTAACGCATAGAAATTTGGCAACCGGTTTTATTGGACTCAATTCTCGTTGCGTACATCGATAAAACATTACTAAGCAATAAAGTGCCCACTGAAAGGAGAGTAATAAAGAACTTTATGAAAGTCAGTCAGTTACAACGTAGAACTTCGTACGCACGTACATCAGTTCATGTCGCCATGCCACATTAGCACAGAGACGCGATTGTCACTTCAAACTTTATGAAAAATTATAACAGAATCTGATTTTTCTAAAGAAATAGAAGTTAACTACATAAAATATATTTTGAAAATTGTGTTAAATTATCAACATAAATAACTGTGTCAGCGAATCATGAAACCTTCCAAAAATTCCCTAGCTAGACAGATTCAAATGACAGCAACAGGCAGTAACCCTCGTTTGCATACATGCTAACGCATCATAAAAACGACTGAGACCATTTTGATAAGGTTCTCTTAACAATGGAACTGCTCATGAACTTCAGCGAGTTGTCAAGTTTTGGGATTTCGACTGCTACAAATCACATCAGAACCGTGAAAAACTAAGGTGGAAATCAAAAACGTAGAAATATTACTAGCATTAACGATGGTAAACAATTAAAGATGTACAATGTACAAACCATTGCACATTATGTTTGGATTGTGTGACACACCTTTCAGTAGGACGAGAAAATTGTTATCTATGGTAAGAGTAAAGAATTCCGGGAAGCGAGAAGTCCTGCGGAACCCCACTTGACGCATCACAACCAAATGATAGTTCACAATAGCATAACTCAACAGTATTTGAGTACAGTCTACAGTGAGCTTATGCACTTTATTACCATATGTTGTGGTTTTAGCCGTTGACAAAAATCATGTTACCATCTCTTTAATTTCTGTTCTGATATAACAGTTAGGCCAAGAAACTTACTAGAATGCATATGAATTACACAAACACTGAGTAATTAATTTATGTATAAGTCAGTTTTTCAAAATACTCATTTCAAAAGTAAGATAAATGAATTAGATGATTCATCAAGGAAAATAGTAAAAATGCATAATACGCTACTTACAATTTGCGAAATATTATTTATAATAGTCAAGTAAAGAAACGCATGGCGAAAGTTGAAGTTCCCTTCACCGTAAACGCCAACTATTTCACATATGCTGTAATTCAATGAATTTCATAGACTTTGAATAGAACACTGAAATCTCAAGTTATAAAATCAAGAAATGTTTTATCACATAAAAAGCTATGGGTGCCCAGTTTTTGAAAATTATCCTACAAACTGATCTTCATATACAAGATGCTACTGAATGAAACGAAATTTTCGAAAACATGGCTGATTCTGTTTGTACCCAATGAAAATAAAAGTTTCACAAACAAAATAAAACAGAAAATACTTGCCGCTTAGAACACAGAATTAATATGTCGCAAATACGTCAAAAGCTTTTTTATGTCCGTCTTAAGTCATTAAGTGAGAGTAGTTAGTCCCACTGGGTAGACGAGATCAAGTGAATAGACAAGCGGTTTTCATATTTTACAAATGGCACAATCGTGATCAGGGGTGTTATATCTTTGGTAATAATCCTACTTCTTGGACATGGTATATTCTTAGAATATGAATGACTACATATCGTAGTTAGAAGGGTAAGTTAGAGAGAGAGAAACACGGCTTTTTAGATCAAATATCTAAATCTCCAGAAGTGATTACAGAAAGGGATAATATAAGTCTGATGGTAAGTGAATCAAAATACAAAAAATAGCAGGAAGTCTTATAGCGATCTGGAAACTTGAAAACTAAAGATGTATATGCAATTCTTACTTAATGGTTTAATGGAACCGGTATAAACGCGAATAGTAAATATGAAGTCACGTACTATATGAAACCTGTGGTAAAATCACACTATAAATGCAAAATATCTACTAAAAGTTACTTATTGAGGAGCAGTCTTCGAAAAAAAAATATGTATAAAAAAGAAACCGACTTACAGTGCAATGGCAGTAGTCAGCGGACGAATGACGGTGTACTGTAGGGCCCCATGACGACAATGGTCAATGAATACTCTATAACAGATGAAAAACGTGAATAGACCATAGCTAGATAATCACTGAAGATAGGAATGGTGAATTGCGCTATTCAGACTTAGAGAAATCTTCATTTTTATAACAACAAATATGTGTTTCAAAAATATTATGAATACGAAATTACTTCTGTGGTCTACCCAGTGGTAACAAGTGACTCATGACAACTTTGGTATATCTAAAACACCATATTATGAGATAAAAACGATAAACTTTAATTTCACTGAAGACCAGTAAGAAGTATTCTTCGATCCACATTTCAGTACTATGATGGGAACTCAGTAGTAAATTCTTGTCACAAGTTGTCCTACTTATGTGTTAGAGCGGAGGGTATTTTACAGATGGATCTTGCCACTACTCAATCAGCTAAAACGTAGAATTTCGTACTTTAGTACACCAGTTAAAGTTGCCATACCACATGAGCACAGACTGATGCAATCGTCAATTTAAATGCTATAGTGGTACATGTTGTAGCAGTATTAGCCGTAACCGAAAAGATAGGGGTCCAACACTATTCAAGAGGTATATCCCAGTGAAATCATTTTAAGAGAAAAAGGGTCATCAAGAATTCAAAAGATAAGAATTTGAGAGAGGAGGAAGAATGGATGCACCTGCACCATTGCAAACGATTTTGAGCCAGGTCTTTCGAAGTCTCTAACTGTCGGTTACGAGTGTCTTGCGGACCCCAACTACGTAGTCTACACCTACTAACATGGCTCAGTCCAGTAGTCAGTGACCACATGGATTTGTGGCATGTTTTGATTTGGCCGCCCCTAGCTTTCTTCCAACCTACTCCTACACTACAAAATATCGCTCGTCAAGGCGGTGGAAGGTTGGGCATACATAACACATGTCCCATCCACCTCAACTGATGAGGTTTCAATACTTCATCAATTCATTTGCTATTTTTACCTAGTACCCTTTTCTTAACCCTAGCATCGCTTACTCGGCGGTCAAAGGATATACGAGAAATGCTTCGAAGACATCTACGATTGAATACTAGTAACCTATGGATATCCTATATTCTTACTGGCCATGTCTCACACTAGTAAAGTAGGACGTAACGAACTGTAGTAAACATACTTTGGTTAGTAGATAAATATCTTGCCTACGCCATAAGTAATGCAAGCTAGCAAAAGCTAGTCGAGCCTTCTATATTCGTGCGGAGATTTCGTCACATACCAGGCCATCGGAACTGATGAGACCCCCGAGATAAGTGACTTTGACTTTTCCCGTACACAATAAAAGTAGTTCTTTGAATAATCTTGACCGAATGGGAAAAAGGAAATTATAAGATTTTGTTTTGTTTTCGAATCATAAGATTTAGACAGTAGCGCTCGAAAAGTACATATTTTGTGTGCGTTGCACAGAAAAAGTTGATAACAGTATACACTTTAAGGAAACGGATCACACAGAAATAAAATAAGCAACAACTCTAAGTTTAGACGACCTAAAGTGGTGAGAAATTAAATGTAGTAATTTAGTGGACAACTATCTACCAAATTAAGGAACACATCTTCAAACCCGTGACTTCGGAAACAGAGTAAGCTACGTCTATACGAACCTGTAAGATGTGTTCAGATTGCTGAAGAGCGTAAGTGGTGTACTGATAGATAGAAATTATAAATGTTACGGTCATTGTAAGCGATGCCTGAGAGCTAATAGCGTATGTATGCCAAATACCTGTAATATTTTTTTAGCTGAGGCCAAACCGAAAATGATCAAGTGATTAGATTTGATAATCCGAAATAGTAAATTAAGTGAAGACTGAATACGTAACTAGTGGTTGGTTGAACTAGTGATCTCAACTTTTCTCTTATAAACCTTATTTTGTAGGAAATAGTAAAAGCTGTAGATGGCTGTGAGTCAAATGAACATTTGAAGGCTGATTTTAGGAGACGAAATGACTCCGGAGTTATTTTCAGTTACTGTGGAATAGACAAAACTGCATAATAACAGTTAAAAGAACATGTTTTGTGGGATCCTATTTACAGAATTCTGTCTTTTAAATGACTAGATAACAGGAAATATAGCTACATAATGAATGCCACGATCACTACTTAGAAGTACAAAAATTATCATATCACTGCTGAAAAGTCAAAGACTGAACCAAAGGTATGAAATATTTTTTTAGGAATCTAATTACGGAGTTATCTCGGAATTATTAAAACATTTAACGCAAAAGAAACGTAGGTTAATGGTGAAAATCTGGATAAACCAGAATAATAAACGTTACCTTCCCATTTTCCAAGAGCTTAAGAAACAAAACGGTGGCAAGTGTTTCACTTGTGGCTTCTGTTCAATGACGCATCGTATGTCAGGAAACTCGCTCCTCAAGTAGTTCAGCAAAAATGCAAGGAAATTGTAAATCACATAGGCTTCGTAACATTCTCTCAACGTATCAAAATAGATTGCAAAGGATGGAAAAATCAGTGCCATCCACTAATGTCAAGTGTCAAGGTAATATGTATGACGTTTACCGCATCAACAGCATAGATCGGTACCATCCACAAAATTCTGAAAAAAAAGTTCGTCAATAATCGAACGAACCTGATGATGTGTCTCTGAAGAAGTGGGTTAGTGTAATTGATCATGTGCTCTATAATTGTCCACAATGATATAGGTATTGCCCCTAGAACAAAAAGTCCAGCAACGAACCACGCGCTAACTATTGCTGGAGCTGACTTTTCGTACAGCTTTATGATGAGGAAAGGTAGTGTAATACATATAAGTAAAGAATAGCACACAACAAATACGGGCTTCACGAAAGCGCGCCAACCCATATCGTAGAGGTCGAATTTGTGCAGAGCGCATTTCAAATATCCAATATCTTTTTCACGAGCTAGTAAAAACCAGTTGATTTCTTTGCTCTCGAATCCTGTTCTTTCGGTGCGGTTCCAGGTGTTTGCTAGATTCCAGTGGACAGTAGTCTAACCACTTGACTGCGCTAATCCTAGTCAGTTGACAGTTGCTTGTAACATTAAATGGCCAGTGATTTGAATGAAAACGTTTGTTTCAGGGCAGTAAGTTGCAATGTGGAGAATAATAACGAGAAAATTCTAATGCCAATACGACTTCAGAAGTAAGTAAATAGATGGATAATTTAATTTAATAAGGTTAGGTGTTATTCAAGAGTAGTGGATAGGAAAGTAGAATGTAATGCCTGATGAAATTTAATGTCTGATAGTAGTTAAACTAGGTTATAATTGCCATTTGGACGATACAACGGTTCGAATACGTAACGATTACTAGAGTTAAACATTAGTCTTCTGTTATCCCTTCATATCGTTTGTTGAATCAGCTCCTCCAGATGTGTTTAATTATCCTGTTGGTTCTAATGTCCCTTCAAAAAAACCAGAATCATCAATACTAGTGACGTTATAGAGATAATTTCCGATGAAGGTATTGTAAAACAAAGTATAAAAGTTCTAGTTTCTGATACAGAACTACGAGTAGTCATATCAATAAATAAATAATAATAACTAAATAATAAATAATACATTTTGACTTAAAACACTCATTCATAGTAACAGTAATGTGCGTTTTGAAGTATTACCGGCTTTTACGATCATTTTGCAGATGCGGTTGTTTCAAAATATGTGACGTGAACCAGTAGGTGATGGTACACTGAAAACTATCTATTTGAGCTAAATACTAACTCCATTGCATTTTGATAATAATATCTATCTATCTATCCTCAATTAGTTTTGGTATTATATTTCATATTGTGGTGGAAGGTTTATTCGCTTGAATCATAACCTACGTCTCCACCGTGCAATTTTCTGCCTGGATAAAGACCTCCTGCAATGGACTTAAAAGCTTTTGATTCAGAAAAATGTGTAACTTCTAGCACTGAATTGTTTTGAACAAAAACCAACTTTTGCTAATATCTGTCGCGATAGTGTGTCTTCTGAGAAAGCAATAAACTTGACTTCATGTTTTACACCAATTACACATATAACGGTTTTTTATCTCACAATCTTTTCTTTGGTATCAGTGTTTCCTCTTTTTAATTGGTAAATGTCAGGACCAACGCAGAGTGAAAGCCAGGGGGAAAAGTATAAATTGTCACTTGTTAAAATAAACACTGTGGTGACCATAAAATCAAGACCCCTATAACATGATTGTGGCCGCTATGAGTTTTGGTGTTCCCATCTACAGATTCTCTCAACTGAATCTCATATAACAAGATAAGAATCGTTAAAAGGCAAATTCATAGTTCAAATTACTGTGAGAGTTAAAACTGAGAAAGAAATGCTACTGAACAGAAAATGGATCGCAAAATACGGAGTACGTTACAACAACAACCAGGAATCATGCTATGAGGCCGGAAACAAACATTTAGGTAAAACGCACGATTCTGTTGTTATCGCTGTACGTTTGGTGTAGAATCTATTTTGAAGGTTTTGTTTTTGGAAAATCTCTCCACATACATATATTTGTGTTATGATCCGACTGACTCTTCTGTTCGATATTTTGGTACTTTATTTGATTCCATTTGAGAATTTATCATTTGTATATTGTTATTATTTCTATTTCTTGTACTTATATTGAAGTGTCCATGTTTCCTTCTGAACTATATATGTGTTGTTCAAACTGATATTTAATATGGCTACAGCCATATTTGGATTTGATACTGTAGCAGTAACTGACTGGAAGCACTTATTCTTCTAGTAACGGAACCTATTGTGGTGATTGGAAACTCGAAGGTGTAATATTGTTTTGTTAATTGTCTGAATTTCCCCTTTTGATTAAATACAGAACCGTTCTTACTTTACTTACTTACGCCTGTTACCCCCAGTGGAGCATAGGCCGCCGACCAGTCTTCTCCAACCAGAACCGTTCTCTACCATAATTATCGCTTTTGGACTTGGACTGGGCGGGACGCGTATGAACCTACACCATTTTGAGTTAAAAGCGGACTGCAAGAAAAATAAATTATAATCTTTATTTCGGGCTACATCAACCTAGTTTTGTCATTGTTTTGCCGTTCATAAACTAAGTCTCAAGAGGATGGGAAACAAATAACTGTTCATCGGGTTGGGATGACTTAGAATTTTGTGTTGAACGCTAACTGTATACCTGCATTTATTGAGATTAATGAAGACCACTCAGTAGTAAGATAACGAATGGGTGATTAACTGTATTAATAAAAGAAATTCAGAATAACCAAATTGTTAGTGACAATGTTGATTTACGGAATATAATACTGAGGCTCAGTGATCATATGCTTTTCTGTTATTTTATTTATTCTTTTTCTTTTAATCAACAGACTTCAGTCCGTCGGTATTAGTGGCCACCTGTTGCAATGGATTAGGTCGTTCCTCACAGACAGATATCAGGTTACCAAAATCAACTCACATACATCTACACCTCGACCAATTACCAGTGGTGTTGTGCAGGGCAGTGTTTTGGGTCCACTACTTTTCATAATCTACATCAACAGCATATGCAGTTGTTTCAACACTGGTAAAACCTACCTCTATGCGGATGACCTAAAAGTGATTTATCAAACTAGCAAATCTGACTTAGGAAACTTGTTGCACACAATCCAGCACGAACTCAATACTGTAGATGTCTGGTGTAAGCAATGGAACCTTGAACTTAATACTGAGAAGTGTGGCTGGATGTGTTTCGGAGACGCTGCTCCCAAATTAGATCTCATTCTCAACAGGAGTGTATTGCCCAAACTCACATCCGTAACTGATCTTGGAGTGCATTATTCGCACAACCTTAACTTCTCCGAACATATCTCCAATAAAGTTTCTCGAATGAGAAGAATGCTTGGTTTCATCTTTCGTAACTTCCTTCATAGAGAATCCAGAACAATTCTCTATAAAACATGCGTAAGACCTATTGCTGAATACTGCTCTTTCTTATTTTCTAACGTACGCCTGTCTGATATGTTGAAACTTGAAGGAATACAAAGGAAATTTACTCGTAAAGTCCTAAATCATAGCTCACCCATTGACTATCCAACCCGATGTATTGAACTCGGGCTCGATCCATTATGGAAAAGAAGGCTTAAGTCCAATCTGATCCTTTACTTTAAACTCCTGCACAAGCTCACATATTCCTCCTGCAGTTTAGTCCTTATCCATGGCCCTTATACACATAACCTTCGAGATAAAGTATCTACGGTCAAACTTGAGAAGTATAGATCCAAAACTCGAGAAAACTTCTTCCTCTCTAAGTATGCACTTATATGGAATAGGCTTCCCTCTAAAATACGCATGGCAAGTGGGTTACATGAGTTTGTTCAACTTCTTAATGATGCTCTCAGTTGCACTGACTCTTCTGCGCTCGTGAACTCACTCGCACCCTGCTTTCATATTAATAGCTCTGCATACACTTTAAACACAATGAACTCAGTGCTGCGTCTTATTTAGTTATTTTTACACTCCCAAGTAGCACTAATTTTTCTAGTTGAATATAAATCTCTTTAGTTTTTATTTGAAATAGACAGGTTACTCTACTAACTGGGTCGTTCGACACTGTTCAACTGTAAACTGGTTGATTAGAATGCACTCTACTCTCCTGGGCGCAACCTCATCAACACTTACAACTGTGTGAGTTTCACATTGCCTATTATCAATTATACTGTTCTCACTTACACGCTATTGACTTACCTTGGCCCCTTAGTGTTATCTATTGCTCCGCTTTTAACCGCGATACTCTTTATATCTCCTGCTTAGTTAGTTAAGTACATCTTCCCCACTACATTCTAAATGCTTATATCTTGTTTGAAAATTCTTACTATTTCTCCATAACTGTTAACTGTATAGCATTGATGCCTAACCAATAGTTCATAAGTTGTAATAGCCAGACGAGTTTGTGAAAGGAACTTGCAGAAATAGTGTTTCTCAACAGGATGCGAGACATAGAACACCAAGTAGAACTCAATAGCTTCTTTTAAACATTTAACATGAGCCTAACAACACAAAAGGAGGGAGGGTGGAGTTACTGACCAGCAAACATTGATGGTATGGGCGATAACTTCAAACAACCCATGTTTGTGGGGCAGAACATTTTGTTTGCTTTCGGCTCTTTAGATTGATGAGACGACTAATCAGTAACACTGAGGTTGCTCTTATACGCTTGCTACTTCTGTGGTTCATGTTTCCAAAACTATGCTGAGGTCGCTATTCTGTCGAGACACCTGCAACATTCTTACTCAGGCGCTTACAGTATGACTTAGAGGTTGGCATTCAATAATAAAGAAAAAAAAACAGTTAGACAGTGCGAGATTTTATTCGTCAAATATTTATTTTTACAAACTCTACTCTTTTAACTAGAATTTCGATTTCAACGTACGTAAATCCAGCTTCTTTCTTCGACTTCTCTTCTATCCACCTGACACTGCAAAACTCTCCCTTCTTTTTGCTGTACTCCTTTATCTGTGCGTTATATTCTTATATTCCCATAATTTACTTTAATTTAAGTGGTCAGTATGAATGTTATCTTGACTTACTACTGTATTGACTACTTTAACATGACAGGTTAAGTAGTGCTTTGGTTATATATATACACTTGCCACACTGCTGCCTTTTCCTCTCTCTCTTCTCCTTTTCAGAACCCCATTCACGGTGGGAAATCCTTGGCAACTCTAGGGAACATGCACCCAATGTACATGACTGTCTGGATCACAGCTCGTATCAAGCGCGTTCCATATGACCTTTCCCAACAAATTCACTATTGATCTCGGCCAATCGCCAATAGAACCTATTGTGCACCTTCCTCATTTGTACTCTAATATTGAAAATGTGGCTGTATAATACTGTTT